TTGACTCGGAGGGAGACCATTTAGAGGCACCAGACAGCAGTAGTTTTCCCGCGATAGGTTGATTCGATGTTAGTCCTGCAGCATAGGTGTGAGTGTTGTATCTATGTATTATGACCCAAACTATACATCATCGATTTGGACACGAATAGCCTCGACGAGAGTTATCTGTAAGGTTTGCACCATGGGAAACTCCGTGCCGCCTCTTATTTCGTATCGGCCCTCGGGTTCGCTGACGCGTAACCTTCTCCATTAGCCATAATCAGAAGTTGTCCGTGTCTCCATAGCCCAACGTCAAACCATGTCTCGTTCCCCACAAGTCTTATGTGTCAGAAACAACCGCCACGCAACATACCAGAGGAGATCCGGGAATAAACACATGGCGATGAAATAACGAGCGTTACGGAGTATTTTATCCAGTATACTCCGTACGGGGTAATTGATCTGCACACTTCCAAGTACCTGGCGATCCAACGTACAATTACTGTGCAGCCTCACTCCGTCGTCGTGGCAAGTATTACCCAACACTGTCTCAGCTTCACCGTGTGATCCAGATTTTGTCTGAGCATGCCATAATATGTTCCACCATTATAATTACTTATCCATTGCCCATTACGTGTACCAACAAAAGACATCAAATTAGAACAGGTAGGCCGCCGTTTCCAGAAAAATCACGGCCGTGACGTCACCCGTTAGACAGTATCAAAACGGAATGGCGAAGAATTGGCCTGCATGCCGCTTTCGGCGTTCATCAAGGTTCTCTTCCGCCTGGGCTACGATGCACGCAAACAGCCGACCGGGAGAGAAATCACTAGATATATAAACCTTCATCCGCATATTTGTTCCAAACATTGTGGATACTATTATGATCTATACAACCTAGAATATCTGTTGCTATAACTAAAAGAAACCCACTGCCGGATCGATCAAGACGAAAGAATCTGCCCATTCCGAAATTCAAAACCCACTATTGTTTCCCTTACTACCATCTAGTAAGAGAGATAATTCGTTTGCCGTTCTCAAATCTCTAAGTAAAAGCATCAGACAGCGCAAAAGCAGATAGCCAGTTCAGCTAGCTCTGCCCGGAGGCGGGTTTTCTTGCCCCAGCAACAGTATAAAAATTTCCATTGTACAACGGCCGTAAGAAAGCAACAAAACAAAACAGATCGGCGGTGTGCCCCCAAGCATATATGATATCGTTTGCCCCAAGACGCGAAGACTCCGCTCACACTTGGACTTGCGGAATGTTTTCCATCTTGCCACCCTCCTCGAGCCATTCTTTCTTTATCAAAGTATCGCGGTAGGCGAAGAGGAACTTGTAAGCCGTCTTGACCGTTCCATCGCTCACGCCAGTTTGCTTAGCGATAGGAGCAGAGGGCCGTGGCTCTCCCATAAGGTGGCAGGCCATGTAGATGCAAGCAGCAGCAACGGACAGCGGTGATCGGCCGGCCAGAGCAGAGATGTCGGTAGCCTGCTCTGCGAGATCTCGAGAGATTTTGGATATCTTTTGCTGGTTCTTGAAACCAAGCTGAGACACATAACGACCGCAGAGATCCTCAGCGCCAACAGACGTGTTTTCGTAGTTGGTGACGGTGTTCAATCCAGTAGCGCCCTCGCCTTCGGTGTCTTGGATCTTTTGCAGGAAGTTCTGTAATTGCTTAAAGACTCTGCCAACCTCCTTCTTACTAACGCTAGTAAGGTTGAAGATTTCCCTAAACGTTCGAGGCACGTTGTTTTGTCGACATGCGATGAAGATGCACCCAGCAATGACAGCCTCCTGGGGTTTGCCCTTCATGAACTTGTGCTTGTCAACAAGCTTGAAGATGTGCTTAGCCGCATTGGAGACATTTGCTCCCATATTGATAGTCTCGCAAAGCGCAACAATCTCCTTGTATGCCTGCATCAGACCCTTCTGAGCCTTGTCTGCGTTGGCGTTGTTTTGGGTACGGGACAGGGCCTTGTGAGCCTTGGATTCGGAAAAGGCGACAGTCGTGGCCAAATGCTGACCCTCGACGAATTCATCCTGAGGTCCACCGACACGGCTTGGATCATCACCTCCTTGGTCGTCATTGGCAAACGTACGCCACTCAGACCGAGTATCGATGATGCGAGTGCCAACGACGACACCGCAGCTTTGGCAGACCATGTCTCCGCTGGAAAACTCCTCGATCAGGTTCGGGGGGTATTCTTTGCAGTCGGGGCAGCAAAGCACATTGTTCAGGTCTTCTTGGAACCCGGCGCCATTTGCAGCACCAGCTCCATTGGCATTTGCGCTCGGCAGCGGCGGAGGAAACATTTTGGACTTGTAGGCCCTCGGCTGGTAGATGTTGGTGATCTCGTCAAAGACTTTTCGTGCTCTCTTCGCTTCCTTTCTTCGACGCCGCAGCTGCTGCCTCTTCTTCTCTACTGTGATTCTTACGGGGGAGTTTGTTTTGAAAAAGGATCCTCTAATCCAGAGTTGATCGTTGAGGACTTGGACAAAGAGCGGTGAATGCAGTTTGACGGTCGCGAGCCTCGTTGGCTTGAGAGTGAGAGAGAAATTGACGGTAGCCTCCGACTTGACAGCAGAAGCTTTTGTCGCCGGTGGCTAGAGAGAATATATTCTTCTCTTCGTCCTTATTTGGGGATTTTTTCTTCTTATTTTTATTATTTTTTTTCTTCGTTCGAGGCGCTAGACGCGGCGAACACCGTCCCTTTCCTGAGGACCTGCTGATGGCAAGGAAGCAACAAAAAGCGCGACGGTTTTTTCTTCTTTTCTTTTTTAACTATGGAAAGGGGACCTTTTCTTCGGCCCAAAAACACCCTGTAGCGCTCGTGCCGTCGGGTGATGGAGCGAAAAAAAAAAAAAAAAGGACGTGAAACTTGGATGCGTAAACAAATGGACTCTGCCGGCCGACCTTTCGGAACCAGTGAAGGCGTCTGAGGTTGTATCGACCGAAAAAACTCAGAGCATCGATTAGTCGGCAGAAGAAGCGGCTGAATTTGCTCCTATCAATAGGCTTTGAAGGGCAGTGAGCGTGGTGAGGGAGCGTGGTCCAGCTTCTGGCGGCGAGAGAGTGCGAGAAAAAGAGGTTGTTTGGGAGGAGAAAGATTTGAATGAGCGGCTAGGTGACGAAGGCGTTGTATTGTAGGTCAGGCTGGAGCAAACTTTCCGCCTGGTTGATCAGGTAGCCAGGGAACCTTCTGGAGGGTGACTCAGCGCAATTATTATGTAATACCGTGTAAAGTCAAAAGATTTTGTAGTTCATACGGAGCGACTCTGCCTTGCCATATAAACGGGAAAATATTATTCCAGACGTGGGGGAATGGCCGACCCCCCAATGACCGCATAAAGCAGCCCGTATTTGGGGCAATTGGATGAGCCCGCAGGAGAGCTATCGCGGGGCCTTGATATCACGAGAGCTTCTTCAACATTGTTCTTCCATATTGCCTTAGCATAAAGACAAACATGGCTCCTAAAACGCTCATTGCGCCGTCAATCCTGTCGGCTGACTTTGCACAGCTCGGTGCAGAGTGCGCCCGCACCATTGAGCAGGGTGCCGATTGGCTGCACGTTGATATCATGTTAGTTGTGATGCAGATACCCGATGTCGAATCACAGCACCATTATCTGTGCTTCGCCAAGTTCTAGGCTGACAACAAGTATACAGGGACGGCCATTTCGTACCAAACATCACATTCGGAGCTCCCGTTGTGGCAAAGGTCCGACCGCACGTCGAGAAGCCGGCGCAACCCGCCGGTCGAGGGACATTCGACTGCCACATGATGATTGCAGAGGTACATCAGATCCCGTTTCCGCATTGACGTATACACAAACTACTCTCCCTGGAAAGAATGGGAATTTCATTGGCTTTCAAGCTGACACTTTACGTCAAACCAATAGCCTAAGAAATGGGTCAAGGAATTCAAGAACGCCGGCTGTGACCTCTACTGCTTCCATTACGAGGCTGCCTTTTCCTCTGCCGCAGAGTCTCCTGAACAAACGACCGATAAGAAGACCAACCCCAAGGAGCTGATCCGATATATCCACGACCAGGGACTGCTTGCAGGCATTGCCATTAAGCCTGACACATCCGTCGACGTGCTTTGGGACATTCTCGAGACCTCGGATCCCAAGGAAAGACCTGATGTAAGCTCTATTGCGCACAGCTCTTCTATACGGCCTGCTACAGGCTGAAATGTGGCAACTGAAAGCTAATTTGTATGGCAATGAAGATGGTTCTAGTCATGACAGTCTACCCCGGCTTTGGAGGACAGAAATTCATGGCCTCGGAGCTGCCCAAGGTGCAGGAGCTGCGAAAGCGATACCCCGAGCTGAACATTGAGGTTGACGGAGGACTCGGCCCCAGCACCATTGACCAGGCCGCCGACGCGGGAGCCAATGTCATTGTTGCAGGCAGCGCCGTCTTTGGAGCCAAGGACCCGGCCGAGGTCATTTCGCTGCTGCGGAGGTCCGTCGACACCAAGGGAGGCAAGTTGTAAGTGGGGAGAGAGTTGGATATAGACCAAATAGCTGCATGAAATAGAAATAGCGATTGCTTCCTCATGTTTAAGCCGTCGACAACAATTCAGTCGTGCATGTCTCGGCTATTTTACACGTGAACTTAGGCGTATCGAAGTAATGTCTCGGATCCCAATGGATAGAACTGCCTACCTAGGTACCAACTACCTACGTCAAGTGTGTAGAAGCGATCTTGTGTGGGTACCGAAATCGGCCAATGGCCAGCCACACTTGACCCATGGGAAGAGCCAATCCGCAGTTCTGGTGCTGAGTCATAGCAAAATGGCAACGTCCTTCTCCATTGAGTCTCTTGCTGTGACGCAGATGCGGAATAGTGTGGGTGGTTCAACATTTATCCCATGTGTCAACGGACATAAGACTTGTCTCTGCATCACTCTTCATTCCTTTCATTTCATTTCACTGCATCAGTGCCTGCGCTTAGACTCATCTCATTTTCATCTTTTATCAATCTTCACCCCCCCGCCAATCAAAATCCTTCGCAATGGCCTCAAGCGCAGGCACAGGCCAAGAAGGCCTTCCACCAGTCAACCTCAAGCCCTTGTTGACCAAGCTCTGGCCGACTGACAATGAAGTCACTCCCGATGAGATCGCAGAGGCAATCTCCCATTTCTTCACAAACCAGGTGACCGAGGCTCAGACCGCGTCTCTCCTCATGGCGCTCCACTTCACCAAGCTCGACTTCAAGGCCGATGTCTTGGAGCGCTGCGCCTATGTCATGCGAAAAGCTGCGGCACCGATCCCGGTCAAGGACCTACAGAGTGTCATCCAGGCGCGGGGAAGAAAAGAGGGCACGTATCAAGGCGGCTTGGTAAGATTATTTACAATTCCGATTAAATATTATTAGTTGGGGGACATTGAGTCCTATATACTTTGAAAAAGAAAAATTATGTTCTAACTATTTTCAAAACGCAGTGCGATATTGTCGGCACTGGAGGTGATTCACACGACACCTTCAATGTCAGCACAACTTCATCCATTCTTGCCTCGTCGCTGCTTCTGGTTTCCAAGCACGGTAACAAGGCCAGCACGTCAAAATCGGGCAGTGCTGACATGGTCAACTGCATGAAGCCTCGGCCGCCCATTATCAGCGCCGTCAAGCCCGACACCCTGGTCAAGGTCTACTCCAACACAAACTACAGCTTCCTCTTTGCGCCAGTTTTCCACACCGGCATGCGCTATGTGGCGCCTATCCGAAAGCAGCTCCCCTGGAGGACAATTTTCAACAACCTAGGTCCATTGGCTAATCCAGTCGAAGATGTACTGGAGGCTCGGGTCATCGGTGTTGGAAGACGGGATCTTGGTCCGGCCTTTGCTGAAGCCCTGAGGGTTGCCGGGTGCAAAAAGGCACTGATTGTCTGCGGAGAGGAGGAGTTGGATGAAATTAGCTGTGCAGGCAACTCGCTATGCTGGATGTTGAAAGAGAAATCCCCTGGAGGCGAGTCCGAAGTCGAACATTTCAAAGTCCACCCCAACGACTTTGGCATCACCCCCCACGCCCTAAAAGACGTGTCTTCTGGAAAGGAGCCAGAGGAGAATGCCGAGATTCTAGCTCGCATCTTGCAAAACCAACTTCCCCTGGATGATCCGGTGGTCGAATTCGTGTTAATCAATACTGCGGCCCTTCTTGTGGCATCTGGCATCTGTGAGGCGGATACCAGCGACATGGGCCATGGCGATGATGGGAATGTCATTAAAGAACGAGGCCCTGGCGGCCAACGTTGGAAGGAAGGTGTACGAAGAGCCAAGTGGGCCATCACAAGTGGTGAGGCCTGGAGACAGTGGCAAGCATTTGTCGAGGTTACCAACGAGATTGGTGCCTGAGTGCTCTGCAGGGCAGTGCGAGAAAAGCTTTCTTTTTTTCCGTAGAATCTCATTGGCTTGGAGATATGTGTAAAACCAAGAGAAAATATCTGTTCATGTCCTTTGACTCGATGGCGATCGTTTTAAGAGGCCGTCCACGAATGTTGTAGTTGATGAGGAGAGCGTGTGTCTCGTCTAACATCGTACTTCATAGGCAGCGATCTATTAGATTTGACAGAAACAACTGAATTTGGCCGACTCATGGGTGGTTCTGAGCGCCGGTCGAGCTCAGACGTGATAAGGCTGAGGTGGGCTCGAGTGGGCGGACCATTGGCCAGACGATATTCTCCGTTGGAGCCATTGGAGCCGGTAGAATCCTTTCGCTCGGGTGCTATAGCTGGATGAAGGTCGAGCGAAAGGGATTGGTTCTCGTGTAGCCTCGCTTCCCACTCCTTCCAGTCAGCCTTGAGGCCGATCAGTGATTCCTCATCTCGCGATTCCTCATCTCGCGACGGAGGAGGATGGGGTTCCTGAGTTTCCGGTGTGGTCTCTGCAACAGCTGCTGCAGAGGTTTCTGTAGGTGTTTCTGTGGCGGCTTCTGTGATGGCTTCCTCCAACGGATGAGAGACTGGACGGTATAAGAAATGAGAGGCGGTGCGATCCAGCGGATGAGGCGCGGTATACACCGAGCTTGAGTCCATATTCAACGTCATCATAGTGTTCAACGTCATCATAGAGCTTCGCGTCGCCAGCGATTTCCGAATCATGGCCTGCCTCTGGGCGTCGTCCACCTCGGAAACAGTCGACATGATGCTTTTCCTGTAAGACTCTCGGTTGTTGTTCGTGGTGGCAGTTGTGCTCCTGTTCCTCAGTTGGCTGTACTTTTGACCTTTGCGATGTCTAATCACCAGAAACACAATGACCCCAACAGTGCAAGTTAGGCCGACGACAACGCCGACGATGATGTATATCATGGTTGTCTTTGGCAGCTCGCGCCGCGATAGTGTCGTAGGCTTGTCCATGGCGACGGCCATCTGTAAGACCCGAACGATCAAGTTTTAGACGCTGCGTACCTGAATTGGATGAAAAGAGAGCACGGGGAGAGGCAAAATTTCCACAAAGTTCCGGAGCGCCGTATATATGAGTTACGCTCGCACCAACAGAGAGTTTATCAAAAAACGGGTCGCAATTCGTATCGTGGTGGTACCAGTTACTGTAGCGCATTTCGCAAACGAGCCACATTCAAATTTACAGACCCCGTAACGCCATGGTCATGGTGTAACGCATGTCATTCCCAGCCTGCCGGCGGCTCTTCGATCGACGGATCGCCTTTGGGGGCCTTGCCTTGGGTGGGCGCCTGCTTGCACAGCCCTCGAAAAGAAACGGTTTTATTATGTCAAAGAGTTGCGTCTCGCTCGCGGGCGAGGCTGGCGGGAACACCTCCAGTTTTGAAGTAACAGAACGGGCAAGCATCTGCGAGCATTTGCGTCACTGACGGTGAGACTAAACCGCTTTGTGCACTGGGTGATATTGGCATAGCAACAGCGCGCGACAGTATTAATAGAAACGGGACTGCCAGGCCAGGGGGGAGGGCAAAGGGAAAAAAGACGCCAGGCCAGGCCACTACGGGGACAGTTGCAGGTCCGGGCCAGAAGGGGGCGGATGCGACGTTTGACGGGCTTTTGCGCATCTTGATCATCCCACAGCCAAGTGGGGACCGCCCTGAGTTGCTGAGCAGCAGGATGGATCCCTGTTGGCTTCTTTCTCTGTATGCTGTGGGCTGCTCTGTGCTGCTGCTGCTGCTGCTGCTGCTGCTGCTGAGAACTGAGAGAACTACGACGATATCAGTAAGCACTGCGGCCGGGGATGGTGGTTGCGAGAAGCCTGTTTGGGAATCGCCTCGACTAGAAGAGCGAATAGCCGGCAGCCTGCGAGGCGTCCGTGTCACCAGAAGCGTCGAGCTTAGCCTCTGGGACAGGGCCAAGCGTCACATCAGCAACGGCGGATGCAACACACTGTGTGGCCGTGCTCGCAGAGAGGCTTGATTTGGAATACCCCGGGCTAAAAGGCTCGCATATCGTTGCGTTGGCTGACAGAAGTTGTTAATTTGGGGTCGAGATACCGTCGACAATGGAACTTGAAGTTTAAAGAAAGAAGATGCCAAGAGGGCATTGAGGCCGGAAATCAATAGCTCAGGCTTTGTTTACTTCGTCCGGCGGCAATACTTTGTACGAAGTACCTCGTATCACCAGAACGGGCTCCATCAAGGTCAATATTTCCTCTCTTAGCAATTACGTTATCAACAAGAGTATTTACTAGCCCACAAGCAGCTACAAGCAAACCGCTATAAAGTGTGGATGTATACATGTAATCTTCAGCAGATAGATGCTGTCAATTATCCCGTCTTATTGATCTTCACGCCGTTATACCAAGACGGCAGCTACTGTAGCTCTTAGGTCAGCCGTCAACTTTGGCATGGAAAGAAACAGGGTTTTGTCGATAGTTTGTCCGGCGCTTCGTATCGACACTAGCACCGGCAAATGATCATTACCACAGTTACCAGCTGCGCTAGTCCACTGATGCATTAATTTGTTCTGCAGTGATATTTCGGGTCTGTCATCCATGGATCCCATTTACTATCTCGGATGACTAACGTGAAACTCAATGGCTTTCATAGCTCTCAGTTGTCTTGAGCCAGCAAAATCCCACTAAACTGCATTCGCCCACTAATATGAGCCGAATCCAGCCGACCCCATGGGGGGTTTGCTCAAAACAGCAGTAAACGGGCAATTGCCAGGCGAACAACTCCACCATTAGCCACTCACAGCCAGGTGTTCGCGATCCATCCCAGGCGATACCGGCCGGTAAATGCAATCGACAACGCCTGATCGGTAGTTGACCTGTTTCTTCTCTCCTCTCTTCATTCTCTCTGATGATACGAGCCCTCCCCAAGACGCACCCACTATAACCATCACAATGTCCCAGATCTGGGGCAAGGCTGTTTCAGGCCTCGCCAGACTCTCTCGCTCCGGCCCTTCTCCAGCCCAATGGCTTAATGCAGCAGCACATGGCATCCGCCGTTACTCTGCGGCTGCCGTCAGCGGTGCTCCTTTGCCTCTCGAAGGTTATCGCGTGCTAGACATGACCCGAGTGCTGGCTGGTGTAAGTTGGCGTCTCACTCGTGTGTGCACTGCATGCATCTACCTGTGTGCATATAAATAGATGCACCCACCAATGCCTAGGTAATCCCTGGCTAACCTGCCTCAGCCGTACTGCACTCAAATTCTCGGAGATCTTGGGTAAGCTTGTCCAACGTCACAGTCTGCCTCGTGCGGCTAAGCGATTGGCATGCATTGATGTTAATTTGTCAAATTTCCAGCGCTGAAGTCATCAAAATCGAGCATCCAACGCGGGGAGACGACACCCGAGCATGGGGTCCTCCATATGCAAAGTACAAGCCGGAATCTGGGAGAGAAGGCCCCGGTGAATCTGCTTACTTTCTAGGGGTATGAGCCAACTTTGACGATTTTGGACTGACAACTGCCGTGACCAATGGAAGCTAACCTTGTAAACTCTTCATCTCTTTTTTTAGGCAAATCGCAATAAGAAATCTCTGGGACTATCATTCCAGCACCAGGGTGGAGTTGACATCCTGCATAAGCTAGCAGCAAAATGTGATATCCTGGTTGAAAACTACCTCCCAGGCACGCTGAAGAAGTACTCAATGGACTATGAGAGTCTACGAAAGATTAACCCTGGACTCATCTACGCCTCCATTACAGGCTATGGCCAGACAGGCCCTTATTCTAACCGTGCTGGTTACGACGTCATGGTCGAGGCTGAGTTTGGCCTCATGCACATCACAGGCTCGCGAGATGGCCCGCCAGTCAAGGTGGGCGTGGCTGTTACTGATCTAACCACGGGGCTCTACACTAGCAACAGCATCATGGCCGCACTCTTGTCAAGGGCTAGGACTGGCAAGGGCCAACATATTGACGTGGCGCTGAGTGATTGTCAAACGGCCACCTTGGCCAACATTGCAAGCAGCAGTCTGATAAGCGGCAAAAAGGACAGCGGTAGATGGGGCACTGCTCATCGTAAGTCAAGTGCACATTGGCAGATGTTGGATTCCAATGTGCTAAAAGCATTGCAGCTTCTATCGTCCCATACAGAGCGTTCAAGACAAAGGACGGAGATATTCTCATTGGCGGTGGCAACGACCGACTATTTGGTGTCCTTTGTGACGGCATTGGCAAGCCGCACTGGAAGGACGACGCCAAGTTCAAAACAAATGCCGATAGAGTTGCGCATCGAAACGAACTAGAGGCCGAAATCGAAGCCATCACCCAACAGAAAACAACACAGGAGTGGCTCGAAGTATTTGAGGGCTCAGGAATGCCTTATGCCGCCATCAATGACGTTCAGGGAACGCTCAACCACAGTCACACCAAGGCCCGTGACATGGTCATTGAGATTGATCATGAATACTGCGGACCAATCAAAATGGTCAACACGCCCGTCAAATGGTCAGAAACCCAGCCTATTGTCAGGACTCCTCCTCCGGTGCTGGGCCAGCATACAGATGAGATTCTCAGCGAGCATCTTGGACTGAGTGAGGCGGATATTGCTGCACTCAAGGATCAGGGAGTGGTGCGATGAGATGCATGAGATTTTATGAGAACAATGAGAATCATATAGGATTGCATTAGACACCTCCTAGATTATGAGTAATGAATAAGACTCATTTCTATACAGGATCTTATGTCACTTCGATTGTTTGTTTGTTTAATGTTAACGAGCAAACAGTTATGAGCACGGACGATATGAGTGAGACACTGTGTACAAGCCCGACTTCTTTTGGTGATGCGCATCATGTGACCCATCACATGACTTCTCCTTCTGTCTTTTCCAGCCTCTCGCGCTTTCCGAAAATGATCCCCCTTGACATCGTAAGATAATAATACATCATCGCAATCATGTTTTAACTTCATCGGGGGAGTTCTTTTCTTTTTCTTTCTTCTTTCTCATTCTTCCAATTTTCATGGGTCGTTATGCGTGCGGGTACTCAGTTTCTCACGTCATCTTATAAGTGCAATGTCATGAGAACAGCGATTCCCGCTTCACACGCAATAAGCCTGTCGCATCACACGGGCAATCCCTAAAATGGAACGCAAAATGGAGACGCCATTGCCGATTAATTTACCAATTGGGCCAAACGATGAGGATGTCACAATGCGGGACTTACCAGCGGCCGCTGTTGTAGATCCCGAACCCATTGTCAATGCCGATACGGAGAATGAATGTCCTCCAAGCTCAACACCACGGCCTTCGTATACACCACAGTTTTCATCTGCGTCATGGATCCTTGATCTTATTAAAAATAATGAAGAACCATCACGTTCAAGTTTATCGAATGAGCCAGAGGCGGTTCCACAAACCGGCGATGAAAGCAAAGGTGTTTCAAATGGACATGATGGTTCAAGCATACACGACACGATGACAATGCCTATATCGCCAACTCATCAGCCGTTAGATAGTGCGGCGAATATTATTGCGACATCTCAGCTTGTTGGAATGAAGAGGAAGCGAGAGCAGGATGAAGAAGCCGATGATTTCACTCAAAACACAATGTCGCTTCCCCTCCCTCCTCCAACACCAGTGTCAACGCCATCAGCAACACAAATACTGAGTTTTATGCCATTAGGCACTGATATAAGGTGCTCTGAATGCGATGGAAATTCATCGGGCTCAGATAATCCGTTCATTCTTTGCAACAGTTGTTCAAGGCTATGGCACCAAGGATGTGTGTCATTAACAATAGAAGAGGGGGGTACACAGTGGGCTTCAAGATTCATGTGCCCTTCATGCTTAAGCATGAGTGAAAGCGATGTGATAGATCGTCGCACGGGATTTTCTCAACAGCAGAATGAAATAGAGAGACGGCGAGCAAAGAACTTGGCGGCTCTCCCAAATGATGTTGTTCCAGCCAAAGAAGAACTCGTTGGTTTTTGGCCAGGCCATGCATCAGACGCGGCAGTAAGTTTATGCACAAGCATTATTGCCAAGAGAAATAAATGAGAGTGAGCTAACTCTATATCTACAGTTAACAGAGTACTTTTATGGAAAGACAAAAACTGATGTATTAAATATTCTCTCATTTTGCGATCAGCTCAAGCCACAGTTGTTAGTTGACATCATGGTTTCTGTCGCAAAGAAACACCCCGATCTGCCCATATTCGACTCTCCAAGTTGGAATGCCAAAGCTATGAGCTCCATTTCGGGCAGAGCAAAGCATTCACATCAGAGCTCTCGGTCTACAACGAAGCTACGACACGGACACACGGTGCTGGAATCCAGGGTGAAGCACAAACACAAGACTTCTAAAAAGACTATCAAGATAGCACCAATCCCCTTGGAAGAAGAATCACCGTTGATGGATTATGGAGATTCTCTTCCGCCCATGTGGCCCAAGGCTGGCGAGGGCCTATATGCAAAACTTTCTCCAGAGGATGAAGATCGGAAGTTCTTGTTGGATGAGAATGACGAGGAGGCGTTTAGTCATTTCGGGGTGGATAAATTTGGCAAGCAGATTGCGATTCCTGTAAGTGCTTGAACGAATGGAGTTTATCACGGGTTCTTGGGTGTTTCCATGGGTAATTTAGCAGACTGTAATACCATCATCTTACAACATTGTAACAACACAGCAGTTTATCAAAGAGTCGCTGCTCGGCATAATTATTATCGAAAGGCAGAACATTGGGCATCAATAAGCAAGGAGAGAAGAGTAAAATCTACTAGATCGATTCTATTATTCCAAACTAACTATACATTATATTACCAGTTGCCTCTAAACTCTAGAATAGGATTGCTTCACTCGTTAGCACCATCTTGACATTGATCCAATTCGTCTTTTCCCCCGTCTACCAACACCGCGCTCTTTTATGCAAAAATACCCATATTCCCTCCCGCTCCAAAAGCAGGACTCTCTATCTACAAACACGCTTCTTCTGAAAGGAACCCGCCAGCCAAACTCCTCCACTCACCACAACTCACAGCTGCTAATTTAGCAAGTGAACTTGTACTCGGAAACGAGAGGAGTGTTGAGCTTGGTGCTGGTGCACAGCATGTCCTGGACGTGGAGGGTGCTGACAACCTTGGTGGAGCTGACAGAGAGGACGGTGTCGGAGAGGATGGTGACACCAACGAGGCCAGAAATGCGGCCACCGAGGGCACCGACAACGTCGATGTAGTTGTGGCAGCCCTTGGTGCTGAAGGAGACGCAGTCGAACTGGCAGGTTCCGAGGCCGAGCAGGCAGGCGGTGGCCTTGAGCTGGGCGAAGAGGCCGGTGGTCAGGGAAGCCTCGACGTCAGCGGCGACAGAAACGAGGCCGAAGGCGTTGGTGTTGAAGATGACGACGGCCTCAGCAAGAGTCTCGACGAAGAAGCCAGCGAGGGCGGCAGAGGTGGCACGGAGGGTGGCGCTGATCTTGGAGGTCAGGGAGATGTCGAGCTCGACGTCCAGGTTGATGCCCAGACCCAAGGCGGTGATCTCAGCCTCGATCTCGGCCTCGGCGCAGAAGGTAAAGGTCTCGACGGTGGCCTGGCACCAGGCGTGCGTGGCATCGTACTTTGTGAACTTGACGGGCGAGATGGCGCAGAAGGCGCTGAGGGCGACGGTCGAGCCCGAGGCGGAGCACTTGGGCATGGGCCAGGCGCCGACGAGGGCGGTGCCGGAGCAGGCCTTGCTGTTGGCGTCGTAGCTCTGGCCGGGCAGGCACGAGCAGGCCTTTGTCCAGGGGCTGTAGGCCATGGGGGCCGGGCACTTGAAGCCGGCGGCGAGGCTGAGGGCGGCGTCGATGTCGGTGGCGGCCTCGGCGACGATCTTGTTGGCCAGCTGGACGTTGGAGGTGGTTGCCGAGCAGGCTGGGCCGGTGGCGGAGGCGGCCATGGCGATGGAGGCCAGGGAGGCGACGGTGGCGAGGAAATGCATTGTGAATGATATTATGTTGTATGTGCTGTTTAAGCGGAAAGGACTGACTTGGGTGTGATTGAGGGGGGGAGTCGAAGGGAATGACTGAAGCTGAAGAGCTTTGGAGGGGATCTAAGAGAGAGTTGTGGATGGGGATGAGAAGAAGAACGGGAATGGGAGATGATCAACAGTCTTTATATACGCAAGAGAATGTCATGGCGATGCTCCTTTTTTCTTATTAACTGTATAATACTACGACTCTTCCAAGCTGGCGTTGGTCCCCCTTGTTGCCTTAACCCCTAATGAGGCGAAGACAGAGCTAGACAATGTCATCCCAGAGAAGAGAGGAGGTTTGCTTCTTTCGCTTGTGCGATCGCTTGGTAGTGGCTCTGGATAGAGTTGCTGCTAGGACGGTAGTTGGATGGCTTGGGGCCGGAGTGCCGGTGACAGGGGGAGCATGTTAGACCGCCATGAGCTGGGAATATGCCGAGTCCGAGGGGCAAGTACAGGTTCCATGATCATTGACCGATGGTGCGGAGATGTCATGTAGTTGGTTTGTGCTTTGGGGGGAGTATTCGAATAGAATCGTCTGGGTAAACTATTGATTATCTGTTGTCTTGATATATGCACCTCTTGTATTGAATTGATGTTTTATACTGCGTCAGATTCTGTGTTGTTGAGTAATCACCATTATAAGGAAGTTGAAGTACGAATATTATGTACGTGGTCTGTTACTATACTTGTCTTCCTAGTCAAGGTATGATGATGATAATCAGGGTATATGCCGATGGCAATCTGACGCTTCTCTCACGAAAAGACAGTGACAGCTCGAGTCAACGGGCGAAATTGCTTGACACGCGGCTTTGCGTATAAGCCCCCCTTCCTATCCTGTCGGGCGTATCCACCGGCTTCTTTCTCTCTTCGAGCAGCAATCTCGCTCAATACTGAGATGTGACAGACTTGGATGCTCGTCCGCTTGGCATCTGCGGTAGTACATGTGCTGTTATGAAGCTACGTGAGAAGGACGAGTTAGGCTGAGTCCACCATATTGTCTCGGTTGTTGGTTCAGACACTGCATTCATATAAATGTTGGGTGCTACCTAGAAGTTGATGCGCTATCATGTCTCAGTTGGGCATTTAGAGGACCAGACTATTATCAGAGACATGCATATTGCCGGACTCGTGGCTAGGCCATAGTAATTACAAAATCGCGCGACATCTCATCTGATTCATTTTCTAGCGTTGACTTACATCAAAATAGGCCACACAAGGAGGCTCAACAATATCCCAGCAAGAGCAAGAAAAAAGAAAAGAACAAGAACAAGAATAAGACGATAAAAAAAAACAAAGCTCTTTCCTCTCCCTTGTCCACTAACCAGGGTTCTGCCATGTCCCCCCTCGCTTGAATTTTCGGGGCCATGCACAAGGGGTCGGAAAAATAGAAGTGTCAAAATAAAGCCCCGGACTTAGACTCCGGGATTCAAAGCACAGAGTTGCGTCCTTACAGCCCCGAAATAGCGTATTCTTATCAAATAGTATTCCATCAAATACGATGCAACGGTGCATTGCACAATGAGACGCGCGTTTTTCTCTCTCTTTTGCTAATTTCCCTTGCACGCGAGTAATGGCGGTATCCTTCCTGAGCCAGAAATGACAGCTCATGAATATCCCACACCAAGACGGCAATGTTCACGAGCATGATGATCAGTTGACTTTTTCTCGCACAGACTCTCCCTCGCGATATCATGACCGGCAAAAGATGAAACTCCCAGCCCGATGAGCCGAAGTGCAGATCACTTCTAGAGTACCAGAAACTTTTGATCAATGACGTGCACAATCCCGGCATTATCCATACATATGATATAGTACAGCTCCACTCATGTATGTATGATTACCGCATGCGATCAGCGTGTCAATGCTTCAGAATATGTCTATCAATACAACATACTGTACGAGTAGCAATACCAATTACGAGGACAGAGGACTAGACGAGAGATACCAGGAATCAGGTGCTCTACCATTCCATTCCATCGCTAACCAAGATTTTGATCGACGCTCCCCCCTTCGCTTCGTATTCCGCTTCTCCGGTACGATCCTGGGTCGTTTTTAACGATCCTTGTTCAACGTGCTATCACCGAGTTCGCTCTCCCGCACATCCGATTAGGGGGGATTGACCCATGTCGAGTCACGTCAAGTTGAGGACTTGGGTCTAGTGTGGGGATGTTAAAAGAAGGAGTGAGAGACACTTGGGGTTCGCTGAAGTAAGAGAGTGTATATTTAGATAGAAAATGTGCTAAGCATCATGAATTGGGACATAAGATGCATGAGGTAAAGCATATCAGATTAAACTTTATCACTAAGATCTAAACTTCACTATCAAAACTGGAAGAGGGAATCATGCATGCATTCACAGCTACGTTTCTAACAAATGCTTTCTTTCAACCCAGTATTCTATTCTTACTCCAAGCTTAGTAAAATCTAGGGTAGGAACTGGACAGAAGAAAAAGGGTGAAACATCTCGGCTCAGACTTGCCTTTAACAACGTCACTGCTACCGGCTCTTTAGAATAGACAGGCATCCAGACAAAGGGGTTAGCTGCAAGCAGCAAACGCACAGTTGTTCCGTTGACTCCGCCTGTGGCCGTTGTAGCTCGGAAGTATCTGTTTTCATCATCACCGCCGAGAGCTTCCCTTTCTGTCTCATACGCTGTGCATATATCTATGCATATGCATCTCCTTGCGTTGGTACAGTTACTTCGTATGCGTAAACGCAATCTCATATACCTCAAGGAAGAAGCAGAGTAGTACCCTTGACCTTGCCGCTTTCCATCTTGGCAGTTCGCGCTCCAAATTGTATCTATAAAAATAGATGATTAGTCACAGTCTACAGGCTTCAGTACTTGATTGAGCCCGCCACTTACCGCTCGTTTCTTCTCTGCTGCCACAGAGCGCATACCCAGGCTGTCAGCAAGGAGACGCAGGACCCTTTTCTCGGGTTCCAAATCACTCCCGGTTCCCGGGTTGTCAAAGTCACACTTCTCCCATGCAGGCAGCTCAATGGCCCACTTCACGAGGCTCTCGTCAAGGTATGGAAACCTCACCTCTCTGCTCCAATGAGCCAAGACCCTGTCGTCTCGCCCCAAGTTTCTCTTGCCTAGCCGGCCGACGTCCAGCTTCAGTTCGTCTATTAGACCTGGATATCCGCTTCGTGTAAAAGCGGTAGCGTGCCGGACATATCCGCCAAATAACTCGTCCGCGCCAAGCCCCGACAGCAATACCCGGGCTGTCGTACTATATGGTTCAGCCGCCTCTAACTCCGAGCTCAGCTGTCCCATCCCCTGTCCTCTTGAAGCAAAGTACAGGGCACAAGCAATCGAGAGATCCATTTCAGTGTTATGGGGGTATATGAGGTCTATCAGCTCTGCTCGATGAGCGCTGGTTTCTTCATATGGAACATTTACCTAGACACGTGTTAATATGTGAGATTTGCCGCTGTTTTGTCTAGTCCTTACAGTAACGAATCGCCACTGTCTGCCTGGGCAGACAGCTAGCAGCTCCGCAAATGACTTTCTCCCAGTCATCCTGTCGGGACAGAGCTCATACAACTCAGCTGTGGACAGGTTTTTGTTTTGCGAAGCAATCCTAGGATTCTCAAATGCCACGTTGATCAGATCAATAGCTTGTCCCGGTGGAATTATGTCACTGGAAAGTCGGGCCAGGACCGTGCAATCTAGCCCTCCTGAGAATAACACGCCAACGCGCGCGTCTGACGTTTCCGCCATTGGAGGTCTTGGAACGTTTAGAACTCTAAGTTGGAGTGACTCCATCAGATGATCCCGCAGCTGCTTTACTGAGAGAGACTGGCTGGTTAGGGGAGTCGTCGGGGTAGTAGGAATAGAGGCGTTGAAAATGCCAATACTTGATACCTGAAGACATGAGTAGCACGAATTGCGGTTGGCATGTTTTTACTCCTAGTGGCCTGCGAAAGCGCTTCTAAGCGGACTTACCAAGTCTTTGTTCTGGTCCCAATCATGGCGAATAGGCATCAGCTCCGCCGGAGAGTTTTCTCCATCCAGCGGAATAGTATAACAGCCATCTGCTTCAACTTCGGCCCATCCCACGGCAGGGGCTTCCGCTATGCTGGAGAGCAGAAACTCGTCTCCCCTTTTCAGCAGTAGTGAACGACGTCCAAGGCGGTCACGCCCGTAGTACAGCTTCTTTGCTCTCTTATCCAGGAAGATGAAGGCAAAGGGTCCCTCGATGGTTCGTAGGGCGTCGAGGACACTATCCTCGCTACTGGTGTTACGACTCGCAGTCGTCAGCAGGGCTAAGACAGCCTCGCCATCGTTGCCCTCAACAGGCTTTCCGCCAAGTTTCCAGGCTTCGCCGTTCCAACAAAGCACAGATCCGGATTCCGCGTCCTCCAGGGGTTGTTTTGCAAGATGGTCTCCGCGCAGCGACAGAACCGTCGAGGTCAGGGTTAAATGAAGGGCGCTCTCGCCTGAACAGAGCTGCACCTCTACGGCTCCAAGATGGTCAGGCCCACGGTTCCGAAGCCTTCGCTCGAGGCCTGGGGCCAACTGGTGACGACCTGCATCCGCTGATATGGCGGCATGGATGCCGCACATTGTAAGGCGCGTGAGGTCTTGATAGTGACAAGGATCAAGTCGAGTCGCGATAAAACTCGGGCTAACAGACGCAAAAGGATTGGCTGGTGCGTGCGCCACACGCTGCCGTTGACGCTAAGGTGGCAGCGCCACACATCCTTGATCCTTCAATGTTCCCACGGCATGTCCTCGATAGTGATTTACTTCCAAATCCCTCCACTATCTCAATACTGTTTGACAATAAACATTTGATCTTAGCTGTGTACGGCTCTTAAATACTGAATGAATGGTGGCAGTCGGATCGGGTATGGTTTTTATGAGCAAGAGGTTACATAGGTACCAACACCCTCTATTGATAAGCATAGCCCTGGTTCACGATGGGGTTCGACATTAGCTACAGACTTTGGTGTAACCAACTTCATGCTAATCATCGGATCAATATATCATTTGACAGCCCTTGCGGTACCAAAAAAGAGAATAACATGCTTCGTATTACATCTATGTACACTTTCTGACATCTACAGCTTAGACGGTGTGCTGTTGGTCTCTGCCAGATATTTCTTTGCCTGAGTTTACAACATATTAGCTTCACATTTGACCGAGGATATGCAAACAATGGAAAGACAGATGGACTCACCTCGCCAATGGCATCATAATCCGCATTCCACTTCCAAAACTCCAGACTACTGAAGTCAGCGTTCTTATCCGGCACAACCTTCTCCAGCACACTATCCGCGTGAGAAACGCCAATCGCATGCTCCGTCTTTCCCGACAGGTGCTTCGTGTTCCATCGCGAAAACGCCTTCACCCGCTCCGCCCTAGGCTTGCAAATAGCCTGCCAGGCATTCACAACCTGCGGCACGGAGGCCGTAGAGCCAGCGGACAAGAGCAACTGCAGCACGCCAATGTCTTCGATAATGGTCGAATACCCCTGCGCGGCGTTGGGGTGCATCGCGTGAGCAGCGTCGCCCAACAGCACAATCCTGCCGGCCTTGCTCGACCAGCGTGGCAGGTCGGGCACTTCGGCAACTCGCCAGCGGTCGCAAGACTTTGCAATTCCCAGGGCCTTGACCATGTCGCTGCATGCGTCCTTGAAGAAGCGGCGCACAAACTCTATGTCGCCCTTTTCGTCCCAAAGGCTCTTCTGGTCTGTCTCTCCTTGGATGGCAAAGAGGAGGCCGATCCTGCCGAACTTGGAGCTGTATCGGGTCACGACGAAGCCGCCCTCGCCCTTCCAGGTGGTGATGTTTGAGTTTTCCGTCAGCTTCATCGATCTCGGGTCGACGGTCAGCTCGGAGACGGCCATATCAAAGCTGTAAAAGGTGGTCTGGTCGATAATAGGATCCCATTTCTCGGGAGGCCCAAGGTCTGATAGTACCGCCCGGCGAGTGTGTGACTTGATGCCGTCTGCCGCTATGAGAATATCACACACAAGTTCCTCCCCGCCTTCCAGCGTCACAGTAGCCTTTGTCTCATCATCAAAAACTTTGACCACGTTTGCGCCGAATCGAATCTGTGCTCCGGCCTGAGCTGCTTGGTACTGGAGCAGCTTGACAAAGGCCCTTCTCGTAGAACCCCAGTCGGCATGTTCGGGAGCATCAACGACGGTGGTCCGGATCTCTCCGGTGTTTAGCTCGCGGTATGTGACGGATGGTGATCTGTCGCAGATTTGCTCCAGGGTCGACTGGAATCCCCAGCTCTGAATGACCTTGCTTGCGCTTGGCCTGATGCTGATGCCTCCTCCTGTGGGGTTTAGCTTGGGGCTCCGCTCAAGGACTTGGACTTCATGACCGCTCTTTGCAAAGGCGGAAGCAGCAGTGAGACCGCCTAGACCAGCACCAATGATAATGACCTTCATGGTGGTGAAACTTCGGTGTGAGGATGTGTTCAGTTTGTGATGGTGCCTGGAAGAGCTACACCGAGAATTGGGGGTTCAGAACACTTGACCTTAGTGTCAGTGATATCCGTATTAGGAAGGACCCGAACGCGTATAAATACGAAACAACTCGGTATTGGAGAAAGCGATTTACAAGAGTTGTTTGCGGTGTTGTTTGTCGCATTCTGCTTGATACTTATATTGAAGTCTCATTGCTGGGGTCAGACCATTGCCAACGTTGCTACTTCCTCGGCTCTCCGCTGCTACGTCGCAGTTTGGATTATCTCCGTTCATCGCTGACATCCGAGGTTTCGACATTTCAATAGTTGCCAAAGCACAGCTTGGAGCTTACATATGGGTCGAGTTTGAGTTTTACACAAGTTCTAAAGCTAAAGCATTTCTACCAAGCCGTAGCTTTATAGAAGAAAAAAATCCATCCAATAATTACGCTCCGTAAGCGAGAATTACCCCAGATAAAGATTCAATCCTTCAGCTGGTTCCATGTACCCTTCATGTGACAGGTGCGGCTTCAGGCCGAGGCTACAGGCTATTCACGCCGACGGAGAATACATGGGAAGTACTTGGGTACCCGAGATTACTCATCCCAGAAACCCTCTGCTTTCAAGTTGCAACTCAAGTTCAATGTCAAGTTAGTAAGCTATGCTGAGTCAAGTTGACAAGCATTGACAGTTCATCTTAGAGCAGATGGAACAATTACATAACCTGCCGAGTCGGGTTGAAGCACCAGTCATGAACCTGTCTGCACTGGGCTCCTTTATATACTGAGCTCGTACACTAAACCAGACAAAATAACCAACCAACAGCGTCCAAGATCTCACGTCAGCGTCTTGCAGCAGTCTAGCAGCTCTAGCAGCTCCAACCAACGAGCTTCAACTGGTTAATTCCGTCGTTGGTCGAATCTAGCTGCGGTGGCTAGAAATAGCCTCTGGTGACTAAGTGGATTTATGGCTGTGCTCAATGCCAGCACCGTAACGGCTAGCCTGGCTCCGAAAAACGTGCGGCGTCGCTGCATCCCGTCCTATTTTTGGTGGTTTTTAAGCTTGATAAACCACGCCTAATTATAGCTGGGCGCACTTTGGGCATAACGACCAAACAACAAGTCAGATTATAGTTGACAAATGGCCGTTGGGCGTTCCCCCAAAGCTTTGGGTAGAATATAAAGTACTTGGTTTCTGTTCCTGCTTTGTGAAGATCTTGATCCCTTTGAGTTTATCAGCGCTAGCCATACCCTCACGTCCCCTCCTTTTCTTGCAACACGCCTCTCTCTGAAGCATAGTATCCAGCTTCTTGTATTTCCAAAAAGCCAAGAAAATCTACAATCCAAGATGCGGTCCTCAGTCTACGCTGCTCTCTTCTCCCTCGTCGCCGTCGGCTTGGCTGTCGAGTGCCACCCCAAGGTCGATCCCATCCCAACCTTTTCCCTCTCTGATGGACGAAACCTGCAGAACGACATCCACGGCAACCAGTTCACTCCTCCTCTGAACTTCCCGCTCACCATCGATCCCGCACATACCGCTTCCTTCGCCGTCGGCAGCGCCATTGCCTGCATCGAGAACGCCTATTCGTTTGAGAGCACACGCATTGGCCAGACTGACCTGGCCAACGCCATCCAAGCCATCATGGACGAGTGCGACCACGGTAATGGCGTTACCAAGGGGTAAGTCTGGACAACTAGGCACGCACTTTATTAATCATTGATTATGAGGCTAATTGATTCGCTTCTACAGTGGCAAGGTCGACATTATTGGCGACAACGGACTTCCTCTAGAGGTCCTGATTCAGGACCGCGCGCTCGGCTGCGAGAACTAAAGCCGAGTGACGAAATTTTGTATCACGATATTATACCCTTTTCTTTTCTTTTCTTCTTTATGGGATTATTCGGCGGTTCTCCTAGCATGGGCGCAGGTGGTTATAGAGCGGGAGCCATATATTTCTACAAAACTTGATTCTCATTACAGTAGACCAATGAAGATACAAACTTGCTACTGCGACTTCTTGACTCATTTTGTGATTTGGTTTGGTATTATACAGAGTAGGAAGTATAGACTTTGAATTCTTAGGTCGTACTTCTTATGCTGATCCGTATTATTATGCTTTAGAACCTACCCTACACCGGTAGAAATTGAGTAACTTTAGATGAATACGACTACCGAGACTACTATGGCCAGGGAACAGTCGAAACATAATTCTTTCTCTCTTCTTTCGTTGATTATTGCCCGTAGGTTCAAATCATGGCCGTACTTATTTTCTCTGAAAGAGTTGAGGTTCGCCCGCTCATTTGTTGATTATCCCCTCCTGTCTCCATGTATCTGTGTCTATGATCCCTTTACCAGAATGATCCTATAGTGGTGGGTAATTCATATACATCCAATATAACTGCACTTGAAAATGATTCGCTAAAGTAAAACAGTGTCAATATCATGCAGGAAGCCTTCCATCATACTTGTAGAAACGAAAGGTTGAGTGGAGCCAATGCCATCTACATGTGCTGTCGCAATGTCTCGAGACACATAAATTGAACACCCTCGGCTGCTCACTGTTACTCTTCTTTTTCTCTCTTATTCTTCCTCTCATTTGCGCCAAATTTCTATGAGCAATCCAATCTATGTATGAACCACCATTGTGTTGGCTACTCTATACCGTATTGCAACTTTCGCTACCGACTAGAATTCCCTTCGCAATCTCTCATGGCGGCTAAACCCAGCAATCTTCCAGTTGTGGCTATGAAGGTGGCACCGCGATGCGGGAAATGGATTCCTCCTCATCTTCGAACTTCCGATACTATGAGAGCACAGATTGCCGTAGATGCTCTCGATAACGTCGAGGCTGATTTGGAGCAAACCAAATCTCAAGCTTTGGCAATGGAGGTAGCACTACAATCCGTATATCGCAATAGATGGATTCATCCTCATCTTCGACATTCCAATACTATGGAAGTACAGACTACCACAGACGCTCTCGATAATGCCGAGATCAGTTCGGAGCAAACCAACACTCGTCTCTCTCAAGGAATGGACTTGGAGACCCAAGATGCTGTTGTTTACAGAATGGACAGACTGGTGCAAGATTTGATAGCCGCCCGCAAGAGTCTGGAAGACGAAAAGAAAAAGACGAAAGACAAGGATGCTCAGATCGCTCAACTGAAGCAAGAAGTGGCTTACCTTCGGAACAAAGCCCGCGAGGGAGGCCGAAAACATGAGGCTGCGGGGGCGGAAGTATGGAAACTCGAGCGAGCGAGTGTGCTGGCCTCAGCAAGCAGCGAGGAGGTGAATGAGCTGCAGCGGCTGTTGGCATTTCACAAGACCAACGGGGAGCAGGTATCAAGGCAGCTCAGAGACTTGCAAGCTACCAACAAGGATCTTGAGACCCAGCTGCAGGCCACCGAAACTGTACTTCGGGAGCAGATGTCACTTTTGTCAGGATTGGGTATATGTGCGCAACCAGGTGCTGGAAGTGACTCACAGGAGGAGAAGCAAGTAGCCCCTGGTCGCTTGGAGGATGCCACTCTTCAGGTCGATTGAATATGTAGTAGCGGTATGATCTGTCATTACATGCAGCGGCACAGTTGTAAATAAAGTAGCCAATTCGATGATTTTTCTCATATGTAGGGCACTCATGACTGAAACTGTGTTATGACTGGCGCGATGTTGGTTAAACACATTGGCGGGGGATGATGCATGTCGAGAACCGGATTGTGGTGATTGGCTCACGGAATCAGGCTGCCTTGAAGGCCTCCCGCAGTATGCATTGGGGTTGCCAAATAGTGGACGAATGGTGGTGAGATAGATGTAACCGATATGCATGAGACAAAATGTGGCCAACACCATGGTTTTTATTCTACACAGCCCCTGTTACTGAAACGGCATTGGTTGGGTGTAAATGTTCAATGCCGTGCTACATGTCAAGTAACATGACAGATTGTTATCAGGCTGTGTTGAAGGCCTCCCGCAGCATGTCTCGAGGCAGCCGGAAGTCCGGATAACTCACCGCGCGATTCGAGCCCAACGATTCTCTTACATGCAAGGGAAAAGCAGGATTCCATCTGTATGCAATATGTGTTGAGTTTTGGCTGGTTGCCAGCATCGAGTCAATTCGGGAGGCCCGCCAACATCAGGGAATCATTGAGCGCTTAGCTACATGTAACGTGCGTGTAACACACATGTAATGTCGCTTCTTTGTAGCCCTCCAGAGCAGTCCCTGAACGGATCCTTTATTTCGATTTCCCAGTCTATATCTTACCAAAATTACTAGAGCAATACTCAATGTCCGATACCCAGTCTGATACACAGTCCGTTTTCTGGATGGACATCAAACCGAATATGGCGGATGATAAACTCATTCAAAGTTTGATGAAGAGGTGTGGCTGTTCTAGAAAGAGAGCAATTACTCTGTTAAAGGTAAAAAGCATAATTCAAGATTGCTTCAATTGTCAAGTTGTCACTTTTTCCTGATGGACTTTTAGATTTGCAACAATAATGTTGATGAGGCCGAGAAGCATCATCGTCTTGTGGAATCATACACTCAAGACTTGACGGACGAATCACCATCATCAACGCCGGAATTTTTGGAGCTTGCACAAAGCAATCCACCATCCAAGGGTCCTTTTAGTTCACGATCTAATTCCGCCATGTCCTATAGAACATCCTCCGATATGGGATACCAGAGTGACGCCCAAGAGTCCATACATGATACAGCCAGAGACAGCGCTCCTCAAGAATGGGATTTCACTTTGCCTCGTCTTCCTTGGTTGGAAATCTCCACGGAGGATGACTTTAGCCCCGATAGCCTTGCCGCAGCCATTCAGCATGGGGTCAAGGCCTATCGTCTCCGAAGCTATCTGAACACTTACGATCCAAGACTTCTTGGGCAAGATATCAATGCCAACGTCATGGGATTTCCTCTCATATTCTACGCCGTTGAGTCAAATGACGAGAATATGGTACGCCTCTTGACCGAGTTTGGAGCTAGTGTGAGTGCTGTATATGAGGCTTTCCAAGTCCCTTTATTAGCATTTGCCATCATGTGTGGAGAGACGCTGCAGCTTGATACAACAAACATGGTATGTGTTCTTCTCAGCATAGGTGCTTCCCCTCATTCCATTCCAATGGACTTATTCGCACCGTATCTACGAGACGAAGCCACAAGCGTCGAGGAGAAAGGCAAGAATGTGATTGCAGCTGCTTCAGAGACTGCGTGGTGCTCTCCGTTCACAAAGACTAGGCTCGCAAGGAACATCAATCTCACACAGAGGTACTTTTTGGAAAAGTCCACGAAGATGAAGCCACCCTCAAAGAAAATGCGGCAGATCGCTCAGATTAAAAATTGTCAGGGGTTGCTGGGCATCCCGTATTTCCTTGTTGGCCAAACCGTTGCCAGCGAGCTCCTCATCCAGAGGTTGCTCACTCACCTCATGATGCCCGCGAAACAGCCATTGGTTCTGTGCTTCGCCGGCCCCAGTGGCCACGGAAAGACCGAGTTGGCACGGCAGCTTGGTCATCTTCTATCGCTAGACTTGGAAGTGGTTGATTGTACCACCTTCACTCATGAGATGGAGCTATTTGGGCCCAGGGCGCCTTACCATGGCTACCAAAGAGGATCAGCAGTCAACAACTTTCTCGTGGAGCATTCCGGTAGACAGTGTATTGTTTTCTTGGATGAATTTGAGAAGACGACGTCAGAGATCCACCAAAGTTTGCTACTTCCATTTGACAATGGTATGACACCTGATAGACGATGACTGTTACGGGGGCTAATCTGTGAGATAGGCGAATACAGAGACAGACGAACGGGTGATAGGATTAATTGCTCTAATACAATTTGGATAATGGCCACAAACGCCCTTGACGACACCATTCTTGACTTTTATGACCACAACGACGCCATTGCCGGTGATGATGCAGATGAGAGAGCTCGGCTGCGAGGGAAGCTTTGCCAGCAGTTACAAGAAGGGTTTCTTCAGAAATTCGGTGTAAGCCTCTTCTATTTACGCTTGAATGATGCTTCCAGCTGCTGCTGATGGCTAACTTGGATACTCAGGCGCCCGTGACAGGGCGCATCTCTGATTTCATTCCCCTGCTCCCCTTCTCTGCTGGCGAACAAGCCGTCATCACCCACAAATGTTTATTAGAATTGGCACAAGAACTGCGTTTGCCTATAAGCCTAATCAAGGGCCCAGCTGAGCGGCTTATCGGTGACATCAGGTTACTGATTCGAAGGGATGGTACCGTGTGCTCAACTCTTGCAAAGGCACATTATCACAACAAGTTGGGAGCACGCAGTCTGAAGGCAGGCGCGGAAAAGGTCAAGCGGATTGTTCTGGATGCATACCTTGACGACGATGAGGAGATTGAGGAACAGAATACTTTGCGAGATGTTGTCATTAACGTGGATGGTGGGGAGATTGTTGGCAAGATGTTGCCGGTTACGAAGGCAGCTGCTTAAGCATGATAGTAGATTTGCATTTAGTCGTCACCAAAAATGTTTTTTTTTTTTTTTTTTTTTTTTTCAGTTTACAGTAAGACTTGCTTAAGAAATAAGGGATGGTGTTGTTCATTGCTCTTACATGTCAGGTCTTTCAACCCAGATCTGTCACTCAGTAGAGGAAACAACAAGGCTTGTGCACATTGGGCAAGGCAGTTTTTTGTACTACGTGGTTCTGGTGGCTACATGAATTCAATGAGCAGATTTCACGATGCTCACCCAAAAAGATAAAGGGTACGTCAAAGCGTTACACATATTGTGATACGCAGTAAGGCAAGACACATCGGCAACTATGCTGATCAGGCGGTCAGAAATTTCAAGATAGTGAACAAGCAGATACTATTCACTTTGACGTATCTGCATACATATTTGTTGGGGATATATAACATTTTGAAGGATTTCTGCATTTATCACGGCATGTAACCGTCATGGCTACTGCTGGGGGCCTACCTGAAATACATGTGAATTTGAGGGATAGAACATGCCTATGCACTTACACGTAACAAGAGAGAGAGATGGTCCTCGAATTTGGCAAATTGTGAGTGATTCGGCAAGAGAGTTTTCAGGCCGCTATGCAGACTTAGTACATGCATCCAATACATCGTTGGCCGGCAATTCATTGACCTACCCAATCCGCTTATGCAGGCATGCGATTAATGGGAAGCGGGAGGCCTGCAAGTAGCATTCACATGCGATCTAGGCTTGCCTACGCGTGTTGTGCAGTCTCCAATTATAGTGGCCTCTTGATGAAAGTTCCCTGCATACCACTCATATCTTCTTCAACGTTGAAATAAGTACGTGTGTTGTCACAAGTATATATAGTGATACAATTCACACCCATCTTGGGTTGAATGGAGAGAAATACTAATCTTCTTGAGGTTATCCAAGACAAATCATCGAACCATGGAAGATCAAGTGGTTCCGGCTCTCAGAAGAGTTGCAGAAATCGGAACTTTGTACGATGCAAAAACAGACAGATTTCTGAATGCTTCAGTTTTATCTCGAGGTCCGTCGGATAATTATGTGTCAACAAAGCAAACTCCTCAGACAGATATCACCATCTCGAGATGTGCTTCGTATGGAGATGTATTTAAAGATCTCCATATCGACGACGCCACTGCGGTCAATATTCTTTCTGGAATTATTGAGCTCCAAGGCGCTGCAGTCTTTCTTCGTGACTTTGTGCCAAGCAATGGAGGGCGTGCCGCTATTATCCATCAATTCTCAACCGTGGTGCAGACACTGGTCAATTTAACCGAAGCCTTCCACTCGAGCGGTGGTTCAGCTCCTTTGCAGACCAGCGACTGCACTCATGTGGTGATTGGAATCAAGTGGGGATTACGGACAATCGTCGCAGCTTGTTGTCCCACGTCCAGCACATCAGGACTGTCTGAAGGCGAAGAGGCGACTTTTAATCGGGACCTGGAGGTTTTAACATCTTCCATTGAGGCTGGCTACATCACACCGCAGTCACCATCGACAGTGAGCCATGAAATGGAATTTTGCAATAACCTCCTTTTATACAGCGACGTGTTTGAAAAAGAAGGTCTGGTAATGCAGGATGTGGCTGAAGTATGCGATTTCATTCGCATTGTGCCAGACCATATCCGACAAGAAAGCGGCGGAAAGGGATGGCCAATCGAATACACCATGATTCCTGTCAATATGCTTTCGTATATTCTGCCTTCTCCCCAGGTGTTTCGGTACAACTTGAGACCGGTCAGAATGGATCATCTTACCAATTTCATACACTTCTTCGACGATTTAGAAACTGCCATTGTTGCGCTTCAAAACTACTATGCCTATCTGGCGAGTCATTTCATGCATGTATCCAAAGAGCATATCAATGAGGTCTCACAATCCATCAACCACTTGGATGAGGCTAAGAAGTGGGCATCTAATGAGCTTTTCCACGTCTTGCTGGGTGTGCGACAGGGGAAGAAAGACCATTCATTGCTATTGGATTTGTATCGCCATATTGTCTCGAAAAATCCTCCACCAAAGCAAGTCTCTACTATTGTCGGGCGAGAAACTGACAAACTCGAATTCATCGCCAGTGCCGTTGCTCAGGGCTCACACTACATCGGCCACAATGGGCTTTCCCTCGAGATGGTAAAAAAGGCCCACAAAGATACTAGCTACTATATCTTTCACTTTGATTCCGTCGCAATGGACCAGAAACAGGAATGGAATGACAATTTTACCCTACTTCTGGAGTTACTTGGCCAACGAGATGAGCGGATGCCTGTCTACATCATGGACCATGACGCAACAGACTCCCATATGTGTCAAGGAATGTCACGCATTGCTCAGTACAAGGGCGAAAAAGAGAGTATCTTTGATTTGCTCGGACACCGCCAATTTATCGCTTCAATGTGCTTCGCTCAATGCTCTGCCGGCAATCTGGATAAGAGCAATGACCAACGACCAGTCAAAAGGCGTATTGTTAAGATACCCTGCCCGAGCCCGGGGTGCAATTCAGGTCATTTAGAATGGACCTGCCCACAATGCTTCGCAGCAATCGAATACGGATACAGTGACGACTTTTTCTATTGTGATTGCGGCCGTGGTCTCTTCAGCACTTATGAGTTTAAGTGCAATAACCCCAAGCATGGGGCTGACTACAAGACATACGAGGTGGACGAGCTTCGCAAGCTTTTGGGCCAATTGAGCGAGGACAACTACATCAATATTCTCATCCTTGGAGAGACTGGAGTGGGAAAGTCGACATTCATCAACGCTTTTGTCAACTATCTAACTTATTCTACATTGGATGAAGCAAAAGAAGCCGACAAGCTCGAGTCTGTCATTCCTTGCTCGTTCTCTCTCCAAACCATGGATAGGGAGAATACAGCAACAGACATTCAGGTACACAACGTCAAAATTGGTGGGCGTGATGATGAAGCAGATGGATCGACGGGGAACTCGGCAACGCAAAAATCGGTTGTTCATTCGGTCATGATTGGAGCAAGAACTTATCGATTGATCGATACACCCGGCATTGGAGATACCAGAGGTCAATCCTATGATAAAGAAAATATGGCTGATATTCTCCAAACGATTAGCCCCTATGACAAACTGCACGGTATCTTGGTGCTGGTCAAGTCCAACAATGCACGCCTCACCATCACATTCAAATACTGCGTCAAAGAACTCCTCACTCATCTTCACCGCAGTGCGGCCAAGAATATGGCTTTTGGCTTCACTAACACCCGCATTTCCAACTATACGCCGGGTGACACGTTCAAGCCCCTCAAAGCTTTGCTCGATGGACATGCCGATATACCCATCACGCTCTCGACGTCAACTACGTATTGTTTCGACTCGGAGAGCTTCCGATACCTTGCAGCATATAAGCAGGGCATTCCGATGGCCAACGAAGAAGATTTCCGTCGAAGCTGGGAACACTCGAGCAAAGAGACGCATAGACTTCTAAACTACTTTGCATCAACTCCGCCTCATCCCGTCACCAGCACGTCAAGCTTGAACGGAGCACGCAAGTTGATAATGGAGCTGACGAAACCCATGGCCACCATCTCGGAGTCTATCCGGAAGAACATTCAACTGTGCGAAAATAAGAGGGCTGAGCTGAATGACACGCAGCTGACGGCTAGCAATCTTCGCAAGAAGTTGCGCTTGGAGAAAATCCAGTTCAAGGCTACCAAGTTGAACAGGCCTCGCACGGTTTGCAAGAATCCCGACTGCTGTGACTTTAAAGATAGTGGCCTTGATGACGGAGTGGTTGTCACTATCTACAAAACGCACTGCCATCCTGTGTGCTCTCTTAACAATGTCAAGGAAGATGTCGTCGCCGATCCTGGTCTCATCAACTGTGCAGCTTTTCGTCGTACAAGTAATTGCTTGCGTTGCCGCCACCGCTGGCAAGAGCACCTACACATCCTCTATGAACTATCAGAGGTCAAAGTCCAGGTTGTAGATACCGAGATAGAAAGGCAGTTGAAGGCCAAGGTTGACGACTTGACGCTGCGTCAGACACTCCTCGCCCGATTGGACCGGGATATCAAGGAGTACAACGAGGAGCTCGACGAGATTCGACGTGCTGCTGCTCGCTTCTGTCTTTTCTTGAGACAAAACTCCATCTCCGTCATCAACGATGCCACGCTGGATTACCTTGACCTGCTCATCCAGGACGAGACCGGTGTCATCGAAGCTGGCCGACAGCGAGGCCTTTCCATGGACCCAAATAAGAAGCGGCTCCAGGCACTGAAAGATGACAGACAGATTCATCTGGAACTGGTTGAAACTTTCAAGCAGAACATTGATGATCCTGCCTGCCCCGAAGACACGTTGCTGGACCAGCGAGGAGTCGGCGCGTTGGTGGAGAAGCTGTATCAGTTGAAGCATTTTGGGGAGAACTTGGAGCACATCAAGTATGTCATAGATTCTTCACTCGAAGACACCTATCGTGAGCGGCCATATCGCGTGCCGATAGTCAGCTCTCGCAAACGCAACGCGCATAAAGCAAAAGGCGAAGCGGCTTCTAATCAGTCAACAAAAGCATCGAAGAAGAAACATGATCATCGGTCATCTTATTCGGTTGATGGGGATGACAGAGCGAGAACAGAGAAAAGTGGTGAGGGTTTAAGACCCATGAAGGGTCCTGCGAATGCGTCACAAAAAGTTACTTATGCTGAAGTGGCCGGATCGGGTTATTCTCACCAACACTCATCGAAGTCGTTGCTTGATCGCTTTCTACCCTGGAAAAGGTAGAGGGAATAGAGGCATTACTATCATTGTAAGGATAATATCTAGCTAGATTGGTAGACGTAGCGCAGATTCAACGAGTTTATCATAAACATCATACATGGAAATCGTATTTATATCTCTTTTAACCTTTTTTTCTCTGATTTGTAAACAAGCTGCCTGTAGTTTAGTCTACCTCCTTTAATACCACTTCGTTCATTCCTCCTTTCATTCGTTGCTGAAGCATATCCCTCATCAATCTGATCAAATCCTTCCTAGTGATGCATAACCCTCTGCCTTGCCACTGATCAAAACCATCTATATTTCCATACACGTATTCCGTTACTACACCAGCAAGTGTCTGCATATCTCGTCCGTTTGACCAGCCTTTTGTCTTTGCCAGCATCTCGAACAGGCTCATCATGATTCCAGTTTCTTGGACATTCGAGCCGTCCTCAGCTTCCAAAAGCTGGATATCCTGCTTGGCTATCAGGTTGCAAAGATGCTTCAAAGCAGACTCGGAGCCCATGGGAGTGAACATTATCTCCGTGGCAAACCGTCCCCGGAGTCCGGCATTAACTTTCATGAGACGGTCCATATCGTGAGTATATCCGGCCATGACAATAACCATTTTTCGGTAATAGCGTGGCTTGGTCATGCAATCGACAATTTCTCCAACTGCTTCATTCGTAAAATTACCCTCGCCGCCAAATCCTAGGCGGTATGCCTCGTCGATGAACAGGACTTTTCCCAACGACCGCTCAAACAGCTCAACCACCTTGGGCCCGGTATGGCCGACATACTTTCCAATGAGATGCGTCGCAGAGCACTCAATCACCTCATTGGTAGAGAGGAATCCCATGTCATAAAAGATTTGGCCAATGATGCGAGCAGTGTGCGTTTTTCCAGTGCCCGGAGGACCCTTGAAGATGTATGTGAACGGAATGATGCCCCGAGGATCCTTATCGTTGCGTCTCAGGTTCTCAGCTATACGCTGGTAAGTCTGGAATCGCTGGATAGTGTCTTCAAATCCAATTAGTCCATTGAAGAGCGCTCGGCATCTATCAGCAGCGGTAGCGCCTCTGTTGTATTCAGGATCAAAGTCTTCGGGCTCAAGCACAATATCCATCGCATCAACATCCGTGATCTTCGACATCCTCTCCCTGTGCCTGACTTTGGCCTGGTTCAAGAAATTGACGACATCACCGCCGTTGCCAAAGTTTGGCCTATCTCTTGCCCGGCACAGTAATTCTGCTGCGACCTTCATTGCTTCTGGCGAGGCTCTAATTCCGTCCTCCTCCATCTTGATGTCGAGAATCTCTTGGAGCCGGTTGTCATCATAGTCATGGAATCGGAAGGCTTCTTCAAGCGGGAATCGCCGTCGTAACCCTGGGTTACACTTTTGGAGCATCTCTTCCATCCTATCTGGGTATCCGACGAGGAGCACACAACGGTCTTCACCAGGCTTGTTGTGGATCTTGGAGACGAGAATGTCAATGCAACCCAGTCGAAACTCGTCTGTTTCGTTGGATCCAAGTTCACTGCCATGGTAAAACATGTGCGCATCGTCTATGATCAAGATCTTGCCTTTGGTCGAATCAAGAATTGCGCTGGTCTTGGTTTCTGATTCGCCGATATACTGGCCGATGAAGTCGCCCGGGGTCTTGTAGATGACTTTTCGGCTGGAGACCAGACCAATGTCAGCCAGAATTTGGCCATAGAGCTTGGCCACGGTAGTCTTTCCTGTGCCAGGAGGTCCAATGAAAATCCGGTTAAGAGACGTCTTTAGCAGCTTCATGCCGTTAATCTCCCTTTGATAGTTGATCTTTGACCGGCTGAGGAGCTGATTGACGGCTGTCTTGATCTCTTCCAGCCCGGCCATCTTCTGAAGTTCTTGCCATGCCTTGCTCTTTGTTCGGACGTCCTCAGGCTCAGGGCCGATGATGTCTTGTCCCGTTAACAAGTGTTCATCCGGCAACGTCTCAGTCCACGAGTCCTCGATTTCCGACACCCTTTGTCGAATGCGGGTCGAGTGTCGCTCCAGTATCTTTCCATATGCCAGACGAAGCTCGTGTACGTTTCCGAATCCATGTTCCTCGCGGCTACGACCGACGCGTTGAGCCACTATGCGCGGAAATGGCCCCAGGGATCCTTGCTCTATCTTGAACGAGTTTTGCCCGACCATTTGAACAAATATTCTTCGAAGCTCATCGTCATTATAGTCTTCAAAGTGTAGTTGGCGTGGGAATAGCCATCTGGCTGCTGGAGAGCTTCCTAGAACTTCTGGAATGCGGTTGAAAGAACCTGAAAGGACAACGACAACCTTTTCAGATATGTCCTTTAACATCTCCATTAGGTATGCGCGTGAGTCGCTATCTGCAAACTCCACATCGCTGATATAAAGTACCTATTACAAATTCAGTAAACCGTTAAGATGCCTAGCAAACACAGGGCCGATGACTTACTCCTTTTGACAGAGCATCCTTGAGTTCCCTCATGTACGATCTCGAGCTGAGCGTGTGACCTGATTTTTCTACAAAAACGTGGGAAGTCGAGTTTCGACCCCAGACATGGCAATCACGAAGAAACTCGTAATAAAGGTTTGCCAACGTTCGCTTTCCTAAAACATTATCAGTTCACAGCTCTTCTCTGTCTGCTGCCATGATGAAAAGGAGAGGACGAATTGGTCGCCTTACCGGTTCCTGGGTTTCCCACCAGAACGAGGTTAAGATCTTGTCGTCTCAACTTCCCCTGTCGACTGCGCGACGCATCAATCATGGCTTTGACCTCTAAGAAAGCCATCTTAGATGACTCAAGTCCCACCATTTCCATCACCTTATCGAGGGCTTCATTCTTTTCGCCCAGCTTCTCTTTCTGACGCATCCAGTCCTCCTTTGCAAATGACTCCACAGGAGGCTCGTCATTTGCTGACGTATCATCTAGAGGAGGAATGTTGTCAATGGATCCACGACGCGAAGGTACCTTATTATCAAAGGGGTTGAAATATGGCGATTCGGGCAAGGATATGGTAGCAGGATCAACCTCTTGTTCGGTTTTAGGACTAGAATCAGATTGGTCTTCATCTACGTTCTCCTTTTGAGATTGGTTTTGATCTGTTTCTTCAAGGGGTGGGAAATTGTCGGCCTCCTCGTTGCCGGGCTTGGTCTCCTCTTCATCGTTGCTGGCCTTGGTTTCATCTTCGTTGTTGCTAGGGTTGGTCTCATCTTCGTTGTTGGTGGGCTTGGTCTGGTCTTCATCTTCTCCGTCAATGGCATCTTGGGGTTTGCTCTCTGTTGATTCGACGTCTTTGGTTTCATCTTTATCAACGGTTGTAGGGGTTGTTGACTCTGATTCGGTTTTAGTAACAGGTGTCTCATTGGGATCCTGACTTTTTTCGTCACTGCGGGCGCTCTCTGCAACCGGTTCTGGTGAAGAAGATTTATCATCCGCTACCGGAGAGATATCAGCTATTTCTCGGCCATCCCCTTCAGGGCAAGCAATAGATTCCAAGTCGGTCTTTCTTTCATCTGCGTCTTCAGATGAGGTAGTCACAGGTGTCACACATGGAAGCTCGTTGTCTGTGTCATCGGTTTCGTCTGAAGCATTAGACGGGAGGGCTTCATCGTTTGGAGTACCCTCTTTAGTAATATTGGAGTCTTTGTCGCCATGGGATTCCGGGTGTGGCTGTTGGTCAAGGACCTCTTCCACGTTGCCGTCCATAATAGCAAAACCACTATGATAGGATTTGGAACGATACAGCCGAGATTCAACGTCAATTTACAAACAAGCACACAGAGCATCTATAAATGAGGAGAAAAGAATAAAAAGCACCTAGATTTATACTTCTTCCCCGGATCGATTATTAAATCGGTGACTACATCCAGCCGAAGGAGCTTGTTAACCAAACGAGCATCTAAGTTCAGGCATATCAGTAGTATGCCTAGCTTTACTGAGACTAGAGGAGCTGCTGCCTAGTTATATGTATTTCTATTCACGGCACTTGATGCAAAATGGATAGTAAAGAAGTTATAAGCACGAGGTGGCTGGGGTAACAAGGATCTCAAGACAGGGCCCAATCACCTGTGACTATTAATCTGTAGGGAGGAGTGATATGTGAAATTGTGCGATAAATGCGCTGCACAGCCCGCCAACGCATGCCAGGTCAATTGGCTGTTCTAAGTTGCCAATGCAATGCTATGCAGTTCGCCTAGGAAGGATTGATATGAGGGTGCTGATGCTGCCTAAATGCTTGGGGAGTGGGCGACCAATCGTCGCTTACTATTCTCCACATGAAGAGGAAATAGATGCAAATAAGACAGGGAACAGCAAGCTCTGGCACTTTCAGTCCTGATATGAGAATGCCTTTGATTGGACTCTTGTAATCTACTCTGTAGCTGAAAAAAAGATGGCGCTGTGTCTTAACATGAACGAATTAAAGCAAGTCGAGGCCGGATGACTCTTCGGAAATGATTCGAGCGTAAGGGAGGGGGCGCAGAATGCCATTGATGACTGTGTCTCCAAGCCCGGATGTAACTGCGCCGAGGTCACTTACACAGGAAAGAATTCGCATACTCCTATAAACTTGGCTCTAAAATGCGCTTCGAACATGTAGACTCGACCTCTATGATGATCAGTATAGCTCATTGCATACGAGATAAAATTAGTCTCGCCTCAAAGTAGATAGGATATGAAACTAAACCTAGATTTAGACTTGTAGAGTAAATTTGCGGCTGCGTTACGTAGAAATTCTTTTCCTCAGAAATTTTCTGTGGCGTTGTATATTTTGTGCTCTTCATGTCAATCACTGAACTGACATGGTGAAGAAGAAAGGGTCATCAAAGAGGCAGCTTCGCTGAGCTCCGCGCATAGATTTTCTGGGCGAGTTCAAGTACAAAATATACATTCTTGGAGTTACATAAAGTCACAAAAATAATGATAATCATCCATACTTACTGCTAGTAACAAGCAAGAATTAGATGCTAATGCACAGCACAGCTCATATTGTCATATGCCATCTCACGATATGGAAAACACATATGTATAGATGTATAAATGTTATTCGATTAATATACATTTCAAATATAGCTCACCATAGATGTTATATAAAACATCTCGGCAAGGGTATATGTGTGAGTATATATGCCAAATGAGTATAAATCATCTATACTCCGTGACTTAATAAGTTCAGCTTGCCCACGAGCAGGGTCTCGAATGTTCAACCAAACAAGCATGTGATTATATTCCACTGAAACCTTTCTGCCTTAACTAATAACTAATCGCTATAAATTGCCTCGTCACATACCATGCCCCTCAAAAGAGCTGCATATGTGAAAGTACACGACGACTTTTAGCCAAAACGGAATGAGGCCTATTACAGCAACCCCGATTTATCATGGCTTTTTACCCAGATTGCGGACGCACCTGTATCTTTCACTCTTGTATAAACATGCATTTAGGCAATTATTGAGTAGATCTAGATCCCACCAAGTTGCCTGTACTAGGCTAGGTCGTGAATCGTATTGAGGGCCTGTAAGGCTTGGCTTTACTTATTCATACAACGTGCAGCTTACATGCAGCATACTCACCGGATGCAGCACATCGTCAAATTCCCATCCAGTTACCGTCTTTACAAGAATTAATTAAATCGTACCACTCGTCACAAGCTATTAAAGCTCGCAGGCATCTAAAAATATCACTGATTGGTAATACATCTAAAATCCCCGTTGAGAGTCCAGAATTGCCTTGCGATTTCGTCTTGCGGAGACATATTCGTGCAACTATGTGTGTTTTCGAATCAGCTGATGGGCATATATGATGCGGATAAAATAGTTTCTAGGCTCAATTTTGAATATATTCTCTCGTATCATGTCAAGGGACGAACGAATATCTACATGTAGCCAATAGTCAAAAATTCACTTGCCAGAGTACCGCTACTACTACCATCCATAAAGCCTCCTCCGGGAATAGGATCCCCCAGATATGATCTGTAATACAGGTTTGTACATCGACTGCTCGCTAAGATACAGAGCTGGACCTTAAACAACATAAGCTTGATGCAACCTTCCTCGTATAGGTAATATACACAGGACAGCAAATATCGAAACTCTTCCACCCATTAGCCCGAGGTATGTCACTATTTGGGAACGTCAGTAATTGCTATTATATGTACTTGTAGTCACCGAAACCTTCCAGCGTCAACAGAGTATCTATATATAGATAGATAGCTTCCACCAGTTTATCTCAGTCAACCAAACCATCACTCTCGCCCTTTTCATTACCTTCTTTTCAATCTCAAGTAACAGCCAAACGCCATCTCCACCATGCGGTTGACAACAGCCATCCTCACCACTCTATGCCTCGTCCTCCCTGCGACAGCCGATGTGCGATACTGCTACCCCATACCAGGAACAGAAAGCACCCCCATCCCTCAGTCCATCCTCGATCTCGATTACCAGGTCAAGGTAGACTGGGGAAATAAACTCTGCACCCAGTCCACCTTTCCATCTGAGGCACTGCAGATCTCCCAGACCGCCCTCGAAGACGGAATCTTGGCAGAAGATGGCAAAATCTATGGCGTCGAGCTTGTACGTGACTTACACGTTAGTCCATTGCCCAGCATAATACTAACCTTTTGAGCAATAGGCCCTTCGTTTCATCACGTCCGAACTCATCTGTCTTGTACGCTTCAGCCTTTCTTTTGAGAATTTTGGCCAATACTGACACGACATTACAAATATAGAATAATGTCAATGCCCTCCTCGGCGTCGGAGCTTGTGAACAGGGCGGTTTCATGACTCTCGCCGGCCCCTTTGAGCAATGGACATACATTATCCCTCTCAACTAGAATATTGGCGGTTCACAATTCAATACACATGCAATCAGTTCCGTATTTCTATCCCGCCATTGATAATAACGGTACAAGGTCATTACTTCATGACTAGTATGGAACGCAGTTGAAGAACAGGTTTAGCTTGAAGTCATGTATCTCTATGCTCTCGCTTATTGTATGAACTATGCGGTAATTTGCTCTATATTGATCAATATTGCGAAAAGTTTTCTATTCCATCCTTAGTAGGAGTTTCTCCATTGGCCAGTATAAAAGCATATAAATCGCCCAAAGGGTTTACAAAAAGGAGGGAATCGACAATTATTAGCACAGAAACAGGCAATCTGCACACACCGAACGCATTAAACCCATCCTGAATAGTCCTCTCACTATCCCTATATATGCACATTTTTATTTTGTGCAATATTTTCTCTTTTCTGCGTATAGATGACATTTCGAAGGGGGGGTCTGTGTTTGTTCAAGGCGGCTCGTGTCATTATTTAATTGGTCGCTCCCGATGTTTGAAAATTTCACAGCATTTTTAACTCCCCCCCAAGACCTGTGAGAAGAGAGTCTGAATCGACCACAGTTCAATACATGTATCTACCTTACCTAGTACCTACCAAGGTACCATAATAGGCAGTGCAGTCTACTAAGCACACATATAGAGTACATTTATAATAGGCAGGGAGTTATGTGAGCGGATGGTATCAAGCACCTCCGCATTTCTCCACGGAATCAGTTATGTACTTAGGGAGTAAGGCATGTCGGCCTGATGCTTCTCAAGGCAACCACGCTAAAGATGATAGGACTCACTCGTAGCCACGAACAATAATACGAATATCAAAAAATTTTGACGGTATCAGTGTTGGACTGTGAATATATCCTTGCAAAGGCGGCACAATGAAGTCCTATGCGAAGTCCAATTCCGCATCCAAACCAATCTATACACAAATATCTCGTTCACCTTCATCAAACACATCCGATATGGTGTAGTGGCTAACATCGCTCGCTCTCATCCCAGAACCGAGCAGCCCTGGGTTCGATTCCCAGTATCGGAGTCAAATTCTCTTTTTGCTCTTTTTTACCCTCCATTATCTCGTCTATCTAGTCCACATCCTTCACACAACCAACTACTCTTCTTTTCGCCACCCCGATCCATTCTTAGCGTATCACGCGATTCATTCATCTTTTTTCCCTAATAGTCTATTTACTAACTGACTCGGACTAGATTCCACGAAAGGGTTATCATCTACTTCACGTTCCTCGCCGTCCAATGAGTCAAGTGACAAACCATCTGCTTGATCTTGATGTCCGATATGGTGTAGTGGCTAACATCGCTCGCTCTCATCCCAGAACCGAGCAGCCCTGGGTTCGATTCCCAGTATCGGAGAATTATCTTTTTGGCATTCAAGAGCAGTACGATCCTTGAGCTTATAATACCTTGGGTTTCTTTTTTGTCTACGAACCAAGCAAGGCAACATGTAGGCAACATATTCATATCACTATACCAGATCGAATCACAATGGCACAGATGGAATAAATCTTCTATCATTCTTATGGAGTTGAAAAAAGTCAAACTTTACCCCTGCAAGCCAAATTTCAGCGTCTTAATAGATCGCAATATTTGTCCATACCCATATCCAAACCAGCTGTTTTTCCTCCTCTACGACCCATACGGTCAAACATGCAGCTATGTTTCAGGGCTTCCTTTCCCCATGAAGCACCCACCCAAGTGGAATGAGATTGAGAAAGAGAAAATAGAAAAATAATCTTTAATACACAAGGCAATCCTTTTATCATTAAAACTGCCGAACCCTTCTCATAAAGTCGTTAAAAAAACAAAAGTGTAGTGGTGAATGAGTAAAGTATTGGTAACGTCTTGTACAATGGCAAAGATATCACCGGGAAGTTTCTGTCAATCTTTCATCTGGGAATTTTTTTTTTTTTTTTGTTTAGATGTCAAGGTTGCTCCAATCTATTTGTTGGAAAATATCTGGCTGCGTGGTTTGAGAGAAGCCAAGGTTTGCGCTTGGCATCTCGGTAAACAGGGACTGGAAAACATCCGTTGTCTTGTCCACTGTTGCCGGGAAAAGCTGAAAGTCAGCGCCTTCTGAGGCATAGGACTCGTCAAAGCCTTCATCGACCTCGCGCAGTGAGGTCGGTGTGTATAGTACTGCATTCTGCTGCGCATTGGGGGAGAACTGCGGCTGGCCGATGATGGGAACAGTGGCGCAGGGTTGAGGCTGGGCGTGATAGACCGGCATCTGCTGAGGCATCATTTTGCTGTAAACCTGCTCAGGAGTAGGGAGCTGGGAAGGAATCTGTACGTGGGCAGCGTAGATGTCCTCATCGTTGATGATAAAGGTAGAGCCATTCTGGTAGGGAGGGTACTGCTCGTAGGAGGATGTGGCAGAGACGGGAGAGGGGTTCTCGAGAATCAGGTCCATAGCATCAATGGCTTCAGGCTGAGCGCCGTAAGTGGCGAACCAGTCGGCATTGGTGGGGTAGAGAGGGAAGTCGCTGGTCATGCTCTGGTCTTGCGGAGGTGTAGGCACGCTGTAGCTGGGCGTGGTTGAAGGAGTAGAGACAGTGCCAAGAGGGGGAGTCTGCTGAGCGACAGATCCGTTCTGGCTGGGCGCCTTCTTGCCGTTGGTCTTGGTGCGAACATAGGTCCAGCCGTGAGCCTTCTCCATGTGCTGCTTGCAATTGGACTCACGCTTCGACTTGTACGGGCAAGGCTTGAACAGACACTCAAACATGGCCGGGGCATCCGAGTGCTTGTCGTTGATGTGGCGGTCCATTTCCTTCTCGGTGGGCCAACCGTAGTCGTGGTACTTGCAAGTAGGGATGGGGCACTTCCAAGGACGAGAGTGAGTCTTCTCGTGCTTGGTGAGGTCGCAGGGGCGCTTGAACTCCTTGGTGCAGCCAGGCTCGCGGCACTTCTTGGGAGCCAGCTCCTCAGGGCTGGCATTCTTCTTTCGGCGGGCCATGGATCGCATAATCTCTTCCTCGTCCTCACGCTGCTCGCTCAGGGAGCGCTTGAGAGGTGTGGGGGATTCGCCCATGTCAATCACTTTACCAGTGGCCATTGAGATGGCAGTGCCGTCCTTCTTGACGCGGACAAGCTCGGCAGGACGGCCGTTCTCAGCGATACCGCCATAGAGACGGACCTCGTCAGATCTTGACGGGGTATTAGCAGGGCTCTCCAGGTCTACGAGAGGTATAAAGCGCGGTACGTACTGGTCAATGTCCATGTCGTCGGCAAGGCTGCCCTTTTCCTTGATGGCAGCGAGTTGCTTGCCGTACTGGTAAATCTGCTCCTTAAGGTCGATAAAGTATCCGTTAGTGTAAGGTCGGTCGCCGGGGCGAATTTGTTCGCGGTCGGTGAGATATTCGACTGTGGCCTGAATGCAGCGGACGGACGTGAGGCAGAAATCAAGGTATAAGGCGGCGGACTTGGCCTTTTCCTTTTGACGTAACATCCGATAAGCATCACCCCAAACTCCATCATCGGTGAGAAGTCGACTTACCGGTGCCATAAAGATCAAGGTCTTCTCAAGATCTCGCAGGCAAATAATTTCCTTGGATCGGATGCGTCGGGGCACATCCAGAACAATGGGCTCAAAATCCTTGAGTGTGGGCTTCTCCAGGAGGGGGCGGAGAGTGTGTTCGCGGATGCGGTTGACAGCGCGGTGGCTGAGGCTGGGAAGCATCGCGGTGGTGCTCGAGGCGGCCGACCTTGTCAGGGCGGAGGCCTGGGGCTTCTTTGTTGAGTCGGCGGCAGACTTGTCGTTTACAGAAACGACTGAGCTGCCAATGCCACTGTCGGAGGCATGGTTTCTTGTGCGTCGAACGGAGCGAGGGCGGAGAACCCGTCGCTCAGACTCGGCCTTGTTCATGGCGGGGTCGACGACGGGAGGGGCGAGGAAACCGCGAGGGACGGGCAGGCTTGTATCCCGAAGTGTCTTGGTCCTAGGACTCTTGTCGGACAGCGAGAGGTCTTGAGCTTTGGAGAGGGCCTCGTCGATATCGTTCAGAGTCATAGCAATACGACGGCGGCCAGCGTCGACGACATCATCAAAGTCAGACTGGGACCTCGTAAGCCGAGGAGGGACGAAGTCGTCGTCTGAAGATGTAGCGTTGGGAGATGTAGGAGAGTGGAAGGTGGCACCCTTTCGGAGGACCATGGCCGTCTTAAGAGACAAGTTCAGTTCGCAGTCGGTTCCGGGACGAGTCACCGGAGTCCTTCTGCGGGGGTTCGTTGAGAAGGACATGGCGGGCTTAGATCTGGATTGTTTTTTTTCCTTCCCTAGGTGGGGAAGATGTATGAGATATGCCACAAGAGTCCTAACAACGTAGCAACAAGCGGTTAGCTTCCTTGTCGATACAGCAGATGTTGCAGTGAGGCTCTTTAGGAGGGTCGATAGAGGTGTGAGTCACAGGGCCGAGATAGACGAGGGCTATGCAAACACCGAAAAGGAAACGGCGAGTTTTGAGGCGTCAAGGCCAGCAGGGAAGGGGACAGGACAGATATATGAATAAAGAGAAGAAGTAACCCGTACCAATTAGTAGGCTCAATGTGAATGGGCGGTCGGAATCCACAATGCTGGACGGGCAAGCGAACCAGTGGCGGCTGTCAATGGAAAGCAGACGGTGGTCCAGACGATCAATCTCGAGTAGGAACAGGCCCAATTGTATTTCGTTGATTGGAGGCGATGTTCGCTGAGAGTAGGCTGTGCTCGTAAGGATGCCGGGAGCAGGAGCAATAAACGTCTCGAGATGAGATCTGATGAGAAAGGAGAGATGCGAAGCAGGCGGAGAGTTGCGAAAAAAAAAGCCTCGACGGAAGACGGGGCGTAAATTGGATATATGAACGCAAGGACTCCGGCACAAACGGGGGGAGGGTAGCCAAGAGAGGACCCGAGACACTCGAGGGAGTGGAATGGAAAGCGGAGAGCCGGGGGGCGTGTGCGAGAGAAGAGGAGTGCAGGGCACGAGCAGCGGTACGAAGAGCAGCGAGTACAAACAAAAGTGACGAGGGAAAAGAGACGACAGGCTCTCTATCTGTATGTGTACACCGCGAGAGGCCGCTGGAATATGCTGAGAGACGAGCGTCGAGGGATGAGAAGACAAGAAAAGCAGCCAGAATGCGGCGGATTAGAAACCAGGCGGACTCAGCCCACCGCAGGCTGCTGCCTAACACGCCGGCCCGTTTGGGCATAGCGCGTGTGTGGGCTGAGGCGTAAGCGCTGCGGAGGAGGCGTATCCCTGTCTCTAAGGTTTTCTGAGATAGAGAGAGCCGCAACAGTACCTGGAGCACTAACAGAACTCCGCCGGCGCAGCGCCGTCTCAGCACCATCGATCAGTAGCATGCCTCTAGCGGCGTCGCTGCAGGCGGCTGTCAGTGGTTGCGGGTGGCCATTTGGGGGCCGGCACCTGCACTGGCGCAAGGGAGCCGGCAGAGGACGCAGCTACCCGTGATAGTGACCCAGGTCTCGCAGCTATCGCGAGCAACAAGACGCCATCTTTGCTCCCGTGTATTCCGGTTCGGAAATCAGCAGTGCGACCTTGGCCGTCCGGACTGGTTCCCCGGCTCTCGAGGGCCAGAAAGCCAGACCAAAACTCGTCCGCCCAATGTATGAGGTCAGTCATCAGAGCGAACTTGCTAGCAGCTCGTGCTAGTTACTGCGCTGACAAAAAAGGAGACAATGGACGTGCGATTACTACGAAGTACTCGCTTCCGACACTACAGTATGCATTGCTGTTACTGCTATTAATAATTGAGAGCTAAGTAATAACTGCATCCTCTTGGCGGTGGAAGGATTCGGTTCTTGTCGTAACCAGTTTCACGAGACGATGAGTTGCGAAAACACCAAGCAAGAAGCTGCAAAAATGCCACCCACAGCGCGATGACGGTGCAAAACGCAAAAACGAAAAAACAAGGGACCTCGACCTCGCACTCGCACTCGTGTGACCGTTGGTGACGTGCCGACAGTGCGAGCTCGAGCAGCGCCTTGAGCCTATCGTGGAGCCTCGCGCAGGCGCAGGGATCACTTTCATCTATGTTGGACCTTGCTGGAGTGTGGCTTGCTGCTTCGACCCGCAGGAAAAGGCCAACAATGCCCTCTTGGCTCGTCCTATTGCTTCACACTCAGATCCCCCCTGCTTCCATTTTGTTTGCTGCTTCTTCGTCTTTTTTCTCTTGCTCGAACTTGTCTCGTCTGGGCCTCCCTTGCATCTGCGCCACTAGGATTAGTTCCAATGCTCCCCTGCCACAAGCGACTGAGCCACCGCTTGAATGATCAAAGTGCATGAAGTATTAGAATGAGAGGGCGCCACCCGGGGACTTTTTTGCTCTCCAAAAGTGGCCCCGAGCAGAGTACAAGCAGCGGAGAGCGACAGCCAGCAAAGCAGTGCCGCTGCATTAGTACTGGAGTGTGTACATGCAGCAACGAATGAGAATGAATGGACTCGTTTGTATGGAGAAGAGCAGCTTTGAGTGAGTGATGCAAATGAGTCCATCTGGCTTTTGGCTCGTGCCATGCCGCTTTAGGCAATCACCGAAAATGCCCAAAGCACAGACGCCCAGCCATGGCTCGACGGCCCGCCTATCACAACGGCCGCCCAAGTTGCGTGCTGTTGGCAGGTTTCTGCGACCTGCTGTTTTGTGTGTTTCGAATTCTATTTTTTATTATTTTATATATATTTGTCTTTTATTTTGATTGATGATAGCACTCCTCGTTCGGTGGCCGCTTTTGGGGTGGCTAGTGCCGGCTTGTTGAAGCGGCTCAACCCACTGTCCGTACTCATGTAACATGTGTCCAGTGATGGATGCTTGGCCTCTATTCGTTGATTGTCGTCGCCGTCAGGACCATCCGGGTGCGAGCCGTATGTCTTGGACGCTATCTGAAGCATACGATCCACTCATCTCCAAGTCTTTGTGTATGTACGACCATGACTGGCTCTGGCTGCTTCATCTGCCACATCCGAGTCCCCTGACGCCTAGACTAATGTAGTATTACCTCTTACTGCTGGACGTCTCTGTATACTGTACATGTAGCCCGTCGGACATGTTAGTTGAGAGACTCTCCATCTCAACTGATGGGCAGTAATACATACCTCCATCATGCATGGGCTCGCACTTTTTCGCCCTTCCTGTCCATGGGTTCACTCATTCACGCTGTCAGGCTCGCGTAGATGCGGCTCTGTCTTAGCAGCCTGTACTGCCCGGTGCTGTACAGTACCGTAGCAGCATCTAAGAGACATGGAGTTGCAAATCTCAAGCCCCCTCCCCCCCTGTGCATCATGTAGGACCGTGACAATGTGCTGTGCTGTGCTGTCTGATGCATGTCAAATCCGGCCAATGCCACTTGTTCCTCTCGATCCACACATAGGGCTGGACAGCCAAGACGAGGTTGGGAAGATGCATCTTTACGGGCTTGACTCATCCCCTGCCGCCAACCAAACGCAGATCGAATCGCCTCCGGCCAATGACTACGCCCGGCAACAGCATCACGGTATCAGCAAGTCTGCTTCAGGTATTGGCCGCTGCCCGTCACAAGCGCTGCCGGTGCTATGCTGTCCCATGTCCATGTCGGCATAATACATTGGACGTACATGTACATGTAATGCATACAGGCCCAAGAGTATGCGAGAAACAGGCCATCATTTGCTCCCCCTCTCGTTCTTCTTCGGTCTGTCTATTCTGCTTAGCATGCCCAAGCCACACATGATCCAAAAATCTGCCGGGGAATGGTCGTAATGGTGCATGTAGTCCGTATCCGTTGCTTTTCTTCTTTTTGCTTTTCCGGCCAATCACGCAGCTTCATATCGAGCAGCCTGCCAAGGCACCCAAATTCTAAGCACCATCCCCCCCGTATTTGCTCTCACGGGCAGTATGACATACAGCAAGATTGGGTCGTTTGGAAAGCGGGGGATGGAGACTTGGGTCAAAATCCGGCTGCCTTGACAAGCTTTTGCATGGGAGCGCGGCCCCTTTGGCTCGAGTTTGCGGCTCTGCGCAGTCGATTTTGGGTCTTTTGCAGCTCCCGCTTGTCCGTTCTAACGCCAAGTTGTGGGCTTGCGTTGGCTGGTGATGCAATCATTGGTGTTTTTTTCTTCTCTTGGTATTTACTAGCACTTTACTCCATACTCTATTTGCTGCTCTGTAGTACTTTTTTGTGTTTAGCCTACCTAGCCGAGGAGCGGCAACGTCGACGTTGACGAAATCTGGCGCGCAAGGGGTTGCGCGTACTATCCATGTCTGTGCGACTCCATTCCTCAGGCAGTCGAATTAAATTCTGGAAATAGCATCAGTTCTAGTAACCATATTCACACGCCCCCTTTATACGCAAGGCACCGAAATTATTTCCAGGCAGCTTCATAATTCCCTGAACATTTGCGATACGAGAAATGAAACCATTCAAAGCTGAAACTAAAGTTTTTTTTTGTGTTTCTTGTTCATAGCGGAGCTGAAGCGTTGTGATGCGCCCTGGTTGCTGACGATCTGGCTAACCTACACGTACCCTTGGTTATCTAGATCGATGGTCAAACCTCATGACCAGCCTCTATTTTTGGCCGTAAAGGGGTTAAACTAAACCAGGATAAGCCTTGTAGATATTCTTGTGCACCAACTGTTGTCAATTTTGAAATGCTCAAGTAATATAGTCTCTAGAGTTGGCTGTTTGACAAGCAGATTCTGTGTGGCTTACAAAAGTTCAAAACACCATGGATGCAGTTTGTAGCTGTTCAGCTATTGTTCTCATGCCCAAACAATGATGCCTGTACTCATCGTCCTGTTCATACCTACAAACACCAGCATCTCCTACGTAGTGATTGAACTTCAAATTCATCCCCAGATTCTCAAGACGTTCATCACATCCTAGGCACATTACAATGCTGTTCAACTTGAAACATGTCTGAACACGCTTCATATATCGTAGATATAAGACCATCTGCCATTCTTCCATTATGGAACCATGTGATCACCCGGTAACGACTCAACATATCCAAAAGCCTCTTTGGAACTGCTCGAGCCACATATGCCTCTCTTCAATCGACCTCGGTCTTCCAGTGAGCCCCTGATTCGACGTATCTCAACCGGCCTCCGCCGCAGGCTATCCACCACCATGCCTGGCCAACGATCTTCATCTGGCGCACCAGCCGCAGCTTCGGGTAACAATACATCTTCTACATCAGCAGCTGACTCCCAAGTAGAGCCAACCCCAGACGCCACGCCCCTGGAAGCATCTTCCATCTTCAACCCCAGTGAGGCTTACACTGAGATCATTGAATGGGGATCATATCCACATGCCATAGAGCTTCATGACGATCCCATCGATGATGATATCTTACTCCCACCAGAATGTCGCTCTCCATCCCCGCCCTCTCCAACTCAGCCCTCACCAGCATTCACCTTCGCAGTCCTCGACTCTCCTTCTCCTCCTACCCCTTCTTCCCCGATCACCAGTGCCCGCCAGTTCACCTACCCAGTGTTCATCTACATGCCCATCGAAGAAAGACTCCAAAGACGCGAAGAATGCTTCTTACACCTCCAACAGTTCCGTCAAGGCCTCGTCAAAGACCCCTTCGGCGAATGGGCCGACCTTGCCAACGACTTATACGGCGGCAACATGCCTCCCGAGTTCTACCTCACCTCCGCCCCCTTCGACCTCCACTCCCTGCGCGGCCGCGTCCGCCTGCGCTACATCCGCACCGCTTTCTGCATGCCCATCGACTCCACCAGCTATGAGATTGAATCCTTCCTTAGCCGCAACCCGTCTCTCGTCCGGTACCTCCTTTACAACACCGTGCCTGACCCAGATCATGCTTACCTTTACCAGAAATATGTGAATAATCCCGCAAGTCGGCAACATAACTGGCATATCTTGTGTGCCATCAAGCAGCTGAACTGGATAGATGAGACGGTCGACTGGATGGCAGAAGCGGCCAGGTCGGAAGATGAGGGAGCTTTATCTGAATTGCACAAGGTGAGAGAAACCGAGATACTGCCTACGGTGTGGAAGAAGATGCAGGAGATGGAGGAGAGCAAGGAGAAGTGGAAGGAGATGCCAATGGAGAAGTTACACGTGCGGGCTGTCCAAAAGATGCGAAAGAATCGTCCAAATAGCCTGCTTAGAAACGTCGTGACGTCTCAAGATGTCATGAAGAGTCGCTGTAGGTTTATGTAGGGACCAAGGGGATAAGTGTTACATCTAGACCATTGACAAACAAACAATTTCAAATTTAGAGACATGAAATGCGTTCAATAATAGATAGTAGATGATTTGCTATTCGCTAAAAAACAATATTAAAAAAAGACTAGTTGCCCATACCGATTTCTAATTCTCCTCGAAACCCGTCAGCTTGACAATCCCTCAAACATGAGCCCACCCATTCTCAACCAACACCTGCATCTCGTTAATCAAACAAAACTCCCCAGGCTCCCGATTCCCACTCTTCTCCTTCTCCCACCGCCCCACCCTCGACCTCACCACCCACCCGTCAAAGCTCCATAGCGTCCATCTCCTGATCCTGTTCACCCACAGGCCGGTGAAAATATCCCAGCTAGACACCCACGACTTGGCCGGGGGGTGAGTCGCAACGTAGGCAGGGTAGTTATAGCCGACCCTGACTCGCGGGTTGAGATACACGCCTTTGGTCTTGGACAGCGGGTTGTCGGCGTGGATGAGGCAGCATTCTGAGCCTTCGAGGTGGTGAGCGGCGAGGGAGTCGGGGACGGCGCGGAAGCGAAGCTTGGTTGACGATACAAAGGGCTCGGCAGGCATGACAACTAGTAGATGATTAGTTTCCTGGAGACATCTTCTAAGTAAATCACCACCAACCTATGCCATTCCAGCAACTGGTGACAGGAACTGCGTCCATATGGTTCACCAGAGCATTTCTCGAATCCCTAGCCTCAAAGTACGGCCAGGTCTGCATGTTGTGCGCCCTTCCTTCAATGTCGCGCAGAGCAAAGGTATCGTAATACAACGGCGGCTTCGAAAAGTCCAGAGAGCAGGCTGCAGCGTAGTTTCCGTGATTGGTATCCAGCAACGTCAACACGTCCTCGACCTATCCACAAGTTTAGCCCATGTCATCTTCTCCGCCTTCCTCAGCCATCTTCATATAATTACCGTAAACACCACGTCGTTTAGAAACAACACCTTGTCAAATGTGATTCCCTTCTTGCTCAGTTCAACCAGGTCCTGTATCGTCTTGTTCCTCAGCTTCGCCAGATAGGGAATCCTTCTCAGTTCCCTCTTCCCCCGCGCCGTATCAATCCACCCTTCCCCTCTGTCCTTCTCCGCCTTGGATATCTCATCGTAGTGCGTCGTATCCGATACCTCGACCCGCCTCGGCACATTCCTCTTCTCGAGCTCACTGTCCAATTCTCGCAGCGCCTCCTTGCTATCATCCCAGCTGCCGCTCTCGAAAACGCTCACAAACACATTGTCGGCGCCAAAAGTCTCCGTAAGCTGAATCACCGCATCGTTCCAATGATCTTTCAGCACCTTTGCGTTGTTCCAGTGCATGCTCGCAATGTATATCCTCTCGCGTGGTCGCGCAGCCCCGCGGCCGCTGCGCAGGAGGTGTTCTCGGTCACCATGGACGATTCTGTTGTGGATTCGGAGTATATCGAGGAAGTTGATCATGAGTAGAAGGAATAGCACTACTCTTGTCGTTCGCCAGCGAATCAATCGACGGAGATACAGCCTGTTGGCTTCTGAGAGCAGCATCGTTGCCTGCAGACGTGCTGATCAAAGATGAAAGAACGACAAGCACATGCACGAGTTCAGATGCTCGCTAATACAATGACACAATGGCAATTATGCCAGCCCATCGCGCCAATTCACAGGCGCGACGCGGCGATTGGTTTGTCTCGACTTGCAGCTTGACAAGCTTCCCTTGATAACGATGATATGCAGTTGTGATGGTTCCGAGCTCCAGTAAGCGGGATACTTGTCGCAGCTTACGTAACAAAGGGTGAATAGAACATCTACAGAGTCCCAGTCAACGACGGATATCTATTACTCGAGCTGATGTAAACGGAAATGGATTTGTCTAAAAAAAAAAGTACTTGGATTATTCTTATTTAATAAGACGCGAAATACTACGTCTTGTTTTCTTCTTTACCAACTCCATGCTCTTCCCTAACCTCCCCCTTTTATTGTACACAGTCAAGCATATTGCATCATAACATACCCCTTCCACATGACTTTTACTACAACAGTCGACAGCACCTCACAGGGAACATTCTCGGTTTGACATCAATCTGTCTAATCCTGAACCAATATTCCTTCTTCAACACCGTGGCTAGCCCTTTGAGAGCTGTACCTTTTTATTTGGCAAAGTGAAGGTCATATCCAAGCCACTTTCTCCGGTTAACTTCGTCGACGGTCAGGCCGGGATAACCATATGTCAAAGGCAAGAAGAAGAACCAGCTGGCAGCCGCGACGGCGAGAATCACAAAACAAGCAATCCAGGCACCGGCCATGCTCTTGCCAGCAAACCGCTCGCGAGCTGTGATATGTCTCTTGGGGCCGGAAGCTTTGCCTTTAGAGGGCTCCTCATCTGCTGGATCTGTGTTAAAGATGAATTCAACAAGGGATCCCGTGACCAGGCAAGACGCCAAATGAGCAGGAAGGTAGTGGTGGAGGAAGAGCTGACGTCCCATAAGGTAGAATGGGAAGTAATGAGTAGCCCAAGCCAGCCAGAAGAAACCAGTGGAGTTGTACAACCTGGAACGAGTGCCTTTTATCAAGAGTTAGTACGCCGACATAGGTTAATTGATAATAGATAGAGAAAGTATGAAAGCACTTACGGTGGTCTAGGGCATCGATGCCTCGACGCAGAGAGACTTGGTCTGCTCCAATAATGCCGGCAAACACGGCCAAAAGACCGCTGGCAAGCCACCAGCCAATGGGGTTGCCAACAAAGTAGATTTGCTGACGCGTATCATTCTGTGTCCAGAAGCTCACACCTCGGAGAAGGAATGGCCAGTGGTAAGGCTGGCTGGCGTACGGGTGGCTGCTCGTCAGCTTGCTGTTGTGGTAGAACATGGACCTCTGCAGCTCAAACCACTTGCGGAGGAACGGCAGCGACTTGACCTTGCGCTGCTCCTTCTGGCGACGAGAGTGGTCTTCAGGCAGCGACGGGATGTCTTCAGCAATCCACACGTTGGAGCTGGGAGTGATTTGCTTATTGCCGTTGACTTCTTGCTGTCTGTAGGCCCACTCGGGAAGAGGGTTGGTGTGAGTCCACATAGCAACCTTGCTGGGGAAGTGAATGAGCTTGAAGTGGCTGGCAACAGTCTTGAAGTCCTGGTTGGGCTTGCCTCCCTCGATTCGAATCTCGAAGAGAGTGTCGTTTTGGCGATCGCCATATGCTTCTTCAGCGGACACAGCGGTGAATTCCTGGTTGGTGGGATAGTACGGAGAAGCAACATCGTGGGAGAGCAGAATCTTGTCCGTGACGATGTGTCGAAGTCGAACCAGCTCCTGGTTTCTTACGATGCGGCCGAGCTTCTGATCGTTGCTGGCAGGGATGATTTGCCAGTAGTTGTTTGTGTCGTTGTGAGGGTAGCCAGTGACCTGCTGGCCTTGGCTGGAAATACGACCATCGTCATATCGCAGAGGGTAAGTGTCAGGGTGGCTGTGAAGGTACGCCTTGGTCTCCTTGTGCCTGATGGTAATGGTGTCATAGTACTGGATATCGACAGCGCTTGCCAGCATAACATTGTCGCTCAAAGTCTCCTGGAACTCTGGAGACATGAAGTCGTCGCCGGGACCAGATCGAGTCAAGACCGCAAAATGCACCTGGAACCAGAAAAGGTAGAACAGGAAAGGCAGGATAATCAGACCAATGGCGCGGGCCGCAAAGTGCTTTCCAAACAGCGGAAGGCTGATGGGCCCATTGGGTCGCTTGATATCCAAAAGCTCCCACAGATCAATGATGACAGCAGAGCCAATGGTGACGAAGGCGAAGAGACCAACGTACTTGGTCGAGATGTCGCAAGACAGCGCGAAGCCAGTCAGGACAAGCCACTTCCACCACTTCCTGCTAAAGGGCTCGTGGCGCAGCTTGTAAAACTTGATGTAGAACAAGAGACTGCAGGCCATGGCAAGCACCAGCGTAGCGTCGAGGAGAATGAGACGAGTCTGGCCAATGTGCGCATTGTCCAAAAGGATCAATCCGGCAGCGACGAGGCAAGCGGGTACACTATAGCCCGATTCCCACATGATCAAATACGTGACAGACACAGTCAATGCGCCAAGGAAGGCGGGCAAGGCTCGGAACGCGACATAGGGGACTTTGTTGGCAATGTAGGAGTCGCCGATGTTTTCGAAGTGGAAGTGGCCGTCATATCCAACCGCCCAGCCAACAAAGGCAAAGAGCAGCTTGGCAAAAGGGGGATGGACATCAAAAAAGTAGGTTCGCTCAAGGTAGTAGGAGGCAAACTATGAGAGCAGTCAGCTGTGTGCCGTTGAGTATGGATTATACCAATACGACATCCCCTACCTTTCCAAAGTGCACTTCGTCAAAGACAACCTCGTCGGGGTGGCTGATTCCCCAGAATCGAGTGACGAAGCCGAGAATAGTCACCAGAGTCAGAGCAAGCTTGTGCTCAATTTCACCCCTCTGAATGTTCTGGCGCGAGGAAGCTGCCGCCTTGGACAGCTTGTCGAGCTCGACCTCGGGGGCAAAGGTAGATTCGGAAACGGGCTGCTTGGACGCAACGTTCCGCTGCCGCAGGCTAGGCGGCTGCGGCGTTGGAGATCGAGCCATGGCTCTAGGAGGCTTCACAGACGAGCAATTAGCAATTCTGCATCAAGGCCAGATGTTGGAAACGTTCAAATCTCCATGCTGAGAAGCTAGGGCCTGTGCAAATGGGCTGCATGTCTCGGCAAGACAGTGAACTGGAGCTGGAACTTACAACAATGCAAAGGTGGCCTCACGCCGGATTGAAGAGAATTGAAGGGTTGAAAAACGAGTCAAAGAGAGAAGAGAATGGAAGAGAAAAAAAAGAGACTCGCGATGCGTCGTGCAGCGGAGTCCCGAGTGCGATGGTTGAGCCTCCCGTAAGTTGGATTGGCCCAAGAGCTGAGGCGAACGTGTCTTTGTTCCCTCGACTCGAGGCTGGAGCCACTAAGCTGCAGGGGTCAGCCACGCCACTAAATCTGTAGCAGTGCCTCGTTTTTTTGAGCCACCTGGCAGTATTGATTTTTAGCAGATTAAAGAATCTGGATGGAGAGATGCTCGTTGGCTACATTTTGATGCATGCACTCGGTATTTATTCATTCATAGCATTTTTGCTGTAACGGTTAATAGTAAATAGCCGCCAAAATGCATCTTATCTTGAACATGGTGCACATCCATTTGCATCTTTCTCAACCCTTTGTCTTTCTCTCCATCACATGCCGGGTCTACGGGAGCTATTAATACACGGCACTGTCCTTTATTACCCACTCCGGATTTGGTATTGCGACGCCGCAAAGGGGGAGCTACAGCCGTTGGCCCTATGAATGATGGATCAAGATGACGCGCCAGCTCGACACCCCTGAGACACTTCCGCTATTGGCAGCTAGGAGCCGGTAGCGTTGATTTGCAATTTGCACTGGGATTCATCAAAGTGAAACGATCACAATCATGGCTCTCTTTCTCTCTCTTTTCGACCAGACACGTTGTGCCCCTCGCTTACTCACTTTGATTTGAGCCACTTGTTGAAGCTGATTCTTCTTACCTGCGTATCATGTATGAGTCTATCGCGGGCGGAATGGGCGTCGAAGCCAAGATGCAGACCTGTAAGCCAACATGTAAGAAAACACTGTTACCTACCTATCTAGTAGTGGATTAGATACTAAGTGATGGGAACCCGAGATTATATACCTAGGTTGGCATTTCTACAACTCATGCTTGGCTCAATGATTAGATCATTCCTGTGTATTAGACCCTTGAAATGGGAACAGAATCTCAATGCTACTAAGGCAATTGATATGAAGAGAGACTACTCAAACATGACTTGATGTAATGCCCAAAACGTCCAACATGCGCCCTACAAGCCCATAGCGCGCGCCCTACAGCAACAATTACCATCCATCCATAGTAAACCATTGGTAAGATGCCCACCGCGCCTCTTCTTTTTACCTCGTTGGGCCGGTAAAAACCGCTACAGCAATCGAGAGGCGGGGTGAGCCAAAGCTTCCGGCCTTCGGAGGGGCGGCCCCGGCCCAAGCTCAGCAAGCTTTACTACTAAATACACTCATAAAACAAACAAAACTTCAACTCAATTCTTCTTGTAACACTCTTCTCCCAAACCCCAGCAATCCAGCCGGAATCAATCTTTCTCCTAACACACTTGTAGGTTGCCCAATGTCGCTGTCAATCTCTCGCAGCCTTGCCCGGCCCTTTGCTAGAAGCCTAGCTGCGGCTCCTCCTCCAGCCTTGTTCGCTGCTGCAAGACCCAAGTTTACACTCGTCACAGCTTTTGTCAGATCAAAGTCCACAATGGCCGACCAGACTATCGTCTACACCAAGGATGCTCCCTTCCGTAAGTTCAATTCACCGTCCGCATGATTCCAATTGGTTTGAACTGATCATTGACGCAACATAGCCCTGGGCCCTTACGTAAGTTCTCATGTACAGATATTAAATGAACAACCTCACCTCATGTGTAATGAAACCTAGTCCCAAGCCATCAAGACCCCCACGGCCATCTACTGCTCAGGCCAGATCCCTCTCACCGCCGAGGGCACCCTGATTGAGGGCACCATCGCCGAAAAGACCAAGAAGTGCTGCGAAAACCTCGATGCCGTCCTCAAGGAAGCTGGCTCTTCCATCTCCAAGGTCGTCAAGACCACAATCTTCATCTCCGACATGGCTCACTTTGCCGTAAGTCACTGCTATCAATACCTATTGAAGTTGAAGAGCTCCCGATCTCATTGCTCATTGTTTGTAGGAAATGAACGGAGAATACGAAAAGTTCTTCTCTCACAAGCCCGCACGAAGCTGCGTTGCTGTCAAGACGCTCCCCAAGAACGTCGACGTTGAGATTGAGGCCATTGCCCTGCCATAGAGGTCTGGGGAAGGAATAGTGTAAAAGTTTGATATATAAATATTCTTACACGCTATTACAATCCAATGAGTTAAATACACCTGGGCCAGTTATTTATATCTTGACATGGAGCTCTAGTAGGCAGTAACCGCCACGACCACCGATTGGTACTGGACAGCTATTGTACAAAGAAGACGTATCATGTAACCCCTCGCCATCATTGACTCTAAGCGTTCCAAACCACCACTCGTCCATCAACACCGCTTGCTAAAAGTAATTGTCAGCAATCCAATTGCCATTCGGGTACCGAGAGAAAAGGAGAAAGTTAGTGTTACTTACAGCTAAACTTGGTAACTCTGCCGCCAGACACCTCATAGGGTCTAATGGTGGAAACTGTGTTCTGGTGAATCGTCTTCAGTTGCGTGTCATCCTTGACTTTTCCCTTGAGATCCATCTGCCTGAACATGTTCAAGGCAGACTCCTCGCGCTGCTCACCGTGGCCGGCACTGCCCTTGGACTCGACAGTTCCAACAAGCTGCCAGCCCCCCTCGCCTCCTTGGAAGCGGAACGCCTCGCAATCGTATCCGGCGGCGATGATCTCATCTTCAGCCTTCCAGATCAAGCTCTTGAAGGGAAGAAGCTGGGTGGGAACGCTCAAAACGGCTCTAGGGGGCTGCTCTGGACCACTGGGGTAGACAACCGTGATGCTGCTATCGTGGGCAGCAAATGCAAGGGCGTTTCCGCTAGGAGAAAAGGACACGGAGTGGACCCAACCGGCAGAGTTGTTCAGATATTCTCCGCAGACGGTGTTGAAAGGCAATCGCTCGCCCCAGACACCAGGCTCGGGACGCTCGTCGACACCCTTGACAAAGGCAGAGAACACTCGGGCATGAGCGTCGGTAGAGCCAGCAGCCAAGAGCACGGAGTTGGGGTGCCAGGCAACGCTGGTGATGGTGCTGCGAATCGGCTTCTTCAGGTGCTTCGAAACCCACCAGTCGTTTTCTTCCTCAAAGTAGCAGACCGCAATCACGCGGTCGCCGGAGCCCACGGCAAACTTGGTCTCGGAAGGCGACCATCGAACAAACGTAGCAGCGCGGCTGATTCGAAGAAGGACAAGGGTGGGCTTGTATCCGGTAGGAGAGGGCTCCCAGACCAGCGCATTTCGATCTGCGAAGCATCAGTCAGGAGGAGTTCACAGGAGGCCGGCAAGGGGACGCAGAAAGGACGAACCCTGAGAGCAAGACACAATACGGCCACTGTTTGGGGCAATGTCGACACTGGTGACGGTCTTATCGTGGCCCTTGAGCACATCCTTCAGCTTGAAGGCATTTCCAGCTTTGCCGTACAGCTCGACGGTTGAGTCGCGAGCAACAGCAAGAGTTGCGTGGTCGGCCGAGAAGGAGTGGTCGGCAATGGGGTTGTGGAACAAGTGGTGAACTTCGGGAGCAGCCATTGTGTCGATAGGAGTAGCTCTCTACTATCGCAGACGAAGAGGTCGAAACTGGAGTGGATTGGGGGAAGAGGATTTGCTTGTATGAGTTGGAGAGGTCGAGGTTGTAGTAATAGCGACGAGATGGCGGGGTGACGTTGCTGCTGCGAGTACGTACATGGAGCCCCTGGCTGTAAGCAAGTGGCAGCTAAAGTCGAGGTACCTGGTACTTGTACTTGTAGCAACGGGGAAGCTTGGGCCACTCGTCGCTCGCAAGACCACCGGCCTAGGAACCAAAAAAACTCCACGCTTAAATCAATCAGTTCAATCATCAATACAAACAACGACACGGCAATTTCTCGACACGACAACGAGCCACAGGGACGCTGTTATACATCTCGAGACGAAGAGCCTTTCTACTCCCTTCTTTTAGAAACCCTTGGGTCCTCCTGAACTGCACAATGGCGTCGGCTGCTGCTCCTCGCGGTCTCGCGCCAAACGCCTCTCTACCCGCCAAAGTGCAACCGATTCCTCCAAATCAGACGTGAGTTGCTCTCGGACAATCCGAGTGTATCATGTTGTTAATTAAGATGTGTCTAGTCTATATGTCACAAATCTTCCATCAGCCAAGATACAAAAACCTGACCTGCGAACGGCACTCTACATGCTCTTCTCGACCTTTGGCCCGGTTCTCGACATCGTCGCCCTCAAGACAATGGAAATGCGTGGCCAGGCACACATTGTGTTTCGCGATATCCAGGCAGCAACTCAGGCAATGAGGTCATTGGATGGACAGACTTTCTTGGGTCGCCCAATGGTGCGTTTTCCCCGGTTTTACATGGCCTGTTGACGACTTGGCGATTAACCCTCTTTAGAAAATCCAATATGCCAAGTCCAAATCGCATTTCGTGGCCAAGCTCGACGGCACGTTCAAGATTCCCACGACGTCAGCCGGCGCTGCCACTGTGGAACAGACCGAACTACAGCAAAGCATCTTCAACGCACCGCTACCCGGAACAGCCCCCGAGAAACCCACAGGCCCAGCTGCCAGCCAAGCTGCGAAGAGTGCAGAAGATGAAAATCGCGGTCAGAAGAGAACGCGCGACGAGGAGGAAGAGGAGAGCGAGGAGGATGTGGCCATGGAAGAGGACAGCGATGACGAATGATTTATGCCTACTCACGACGAGGCCACCCCAATCAAGGACGAGGGTTCCTCCGTCCAAACAGTGCCGTTATTGGGTGGCCATTTCCTTGGGCACCCACAAGCCGACGCACCCCCCAACCAGGCCGAACCAGATCATGAGATAATTCTCCCTTGAACATTGGAAGCTGGATATAGCGTCTCCTAATAGGCACGGATGGAGAAAGAAAGAGGGGACCCCGGTGATGGGGTGATGCTATAGGCAAGCTGTTAGTGCGGCCGGACCGACACTAGATCTTTTGGATACCATAATTAACTTGTGCAAATAGAAATGGAAACTCACGTCTGCTGAGATGCCTCCGATGCCTCCTACTCCTCGACGGAGACCATCTTTATAGCTGTCAGGAACCAGGCGGCGGAAGACGGTGTCGATATTGAAAGCAGGCTCGTCTGAGGGGAGATCGTGAAGGCTGAACCAGAGACACGGAACTCTATATGTGGGGTGTAGGTGAATCTCGTATGCTACATAGCCGAATCCCGGCCTCGCCTTGTGTTGTATGAGGCCCTGATAGAAAAATGTGTGAGCACAGTCGAGATGTAACAGCAGTAGCAGCTGCTGCAGCAGCGGTATCAAGCTAGCATA